TAACAGATTCGCCTTATCTGAGTTGTCAGACAACGTATTTCCCTGGCGATCTTTTAGGCAGGGAATGCAGTCCCGGTTGCGTTTTGCTTTATTCACGTATCCAAAGAATTTTTTTGAATTTTGCGGGATATTTTTTAAAAGATTTGACTCAAATTGTGCCCGTTGTCTCCTCAACAGATTCCGACATAAATTCCTCTGTTTTTTGAAGTCAGCCAAATGCTCTGGTTGTTGAAAACTTGCGTACTTTTTCCAAAGTCTCCTTTTCAATTTAAGATTCTTCTTTATTCCTGACGTCACCCACTCTGGTCGGGATGTGCGCGGCTTCCTCTTCAGTGGGCAACAGCTCTCTACTAAGTGCTGCAGTATGTTCTTGAAGAAGAGCCAATCGCTTTCTGGGTCAGGTCCTTGTGCTGCATTCCAGTTCACCTTCTGTAACAGGTTTTTCATTCGGGTAAAATCCCCCTTCCATACGTTTCTTTCCTCAGCAGCTCGAATTTCGGGTACTGAAAAATGACTATACTCCCAAACAAGAACGCAGTGGTCACTTCGGCCAAGGGGCGGGTGCGATTCCAATCCGAGAATGCAACTATCATCCCTGGTGATTATGAGGTCCAAACAACTGGACTGCTGTCCATCCCTGAATCGAGTGTTCACTTTAACGTGTTGGGTAAGGAACTCCGTTGTGATCAGTTGCATAAATTTCTGTTCGAAGGAGTTTTCTGATCGGGTGCAATACATCAAATGCCAATCTATGTCTGGACAATTAAAGTCACCAAGTAGCATTATGTGTTTGCTTCGACAAATTTCTTTTATCTCAGTGATAAGTGCATCGTCCGCATCCGTTCGCTGGCTTGGCGGTCTGTAAACCAGGGCCAGATGGAGGCTTGGATGGTTTGACACCTTCAAGCAACAACTGAGTATTTCACAGTCAATGTGCCGAAATGGAGAAGACTCAACCCGGACGTAGTCGATGCCATCCCGTATAAATATCGCAATTCCCCCACCCCTTCGTTCGTTTCTGTCCATTCGGATAATCTGGAAACCATCTAGCATAACTTCCGCATCTTCTATCTGCGCATTTAACCATGTTTCTGTTAAAGCTATCAAGTCGGGTTGGAAATGGCTAAATAGATTGCAAGAAGTTCTCTACCAAAAGTGCTATAGCGAGTTTGTGGGGGTGTCATTTCGGCAGAGTAGAAAGTCAAGGGCTGGGTTCCAGTGGGCGTCTGTTGCTGAAGGGCAGCACCTATAGCGAAATTGGAGGCGTCGGCCACAATGGAAAGTGGGGCATCAGGTATAGGGTGAACAAGGACAGTTGTATCCGCAAGAGCCTTCCTCGCACGATTGAATGCCACTATAGTTGTGTCAGGAAAAGAAAACTCACGGTTGTTCCCGCGTAAAAGGTTAGTAAGTGGTAGCATTAATTGAGCACAATGAGGGATGAAACGTCGATAGAAATTGACAAGGCCTATAAAACGGCGCAGTTGTTGAAAAGAAGTGGGAGTAGGGAAACCGCGAATAGCTGAAACTTTGGTATCTATGGGATGACAACCAGAAGCATCTACGCGATGTCCTAGGAAAAACAGCGACTGTGCGCCAAAAACGCATTTAGAAACATTAATGAAAACGCCAAATTGGCTCAATCGTCCAAAAATGAGACGCAAATGTTGTAGGTGCTCGTGTTCACTGGAACTTGCTACCAGAACATCGTCGACGTAGAGAAAAACGAACGATAGATCGCGGAGGGCTTCGTTGATGAAACGTTGAAAAGTTTGGGCGGAGTTGCGTAGCCCAAAAGGCATCCTGACAAACTTGAACAGACCGAACGGTGTTGTAATCGCCGTTTTGGGAATGTCTTCTGGAGCAACGGGTATCTGATGGAAAGCTTTGACTAAGTCAATGTTGGAAAATCTTGTTGCTCCAGCTAGGCTAGATGAAAAGTCGTTAAGAGGGGGAAGTGGATACCTGTCAGGCACAGTGGAGGTGTTTAACCGTCGGTAATCCCCGCATGGGCGCTAGTCAACGAGAGACTTTTTGCACACCATATGTAGAGGTGCAGCCCATGGACTAGTGGAAGGCCTAACTATGCCTAGCTCCATCATGTGGCTGAATTCAGCCTTGGCTATGGCTAAATTATCGGCGGCTAAACGATGGGGACGGCTAAACACGGGTGGTCCAGTAGTTGAAATATAATGTACAACAGAATGCTTGATAGGTTAGTTAAATTGTGAAGGTCGTGTGATAATGGAAATTCCGAAAGTAAACGATGATAGGGAGTAGACGAAGGGATTGTTGAAATGCGTGGATTAGGTGACGAAAGGGTACGAGTGGAACAATTACAATGTAAAGAAGTCTTAGGATCAAATAATTTATGGGACTTAATGTCAACGAGGAGACCGAAAAAGGATATAAAATCAGCGCCGAGAATGGCAGTATGGACATCAGCGATAGTAAATAGCCAACGAAATGAACGTCTTAGACCCAAATCTAGTGTTAGGGATCGTTGACCAAAAGTTTTAATAGAAGTATTGTTAGCCGCTTGGAGGAAAAATGAAGAATTTGGTGACTTACGGTCAGTCAAGGTGGGTGGGATTAGACTGATCTCCGCACCAGTATCCACGAGAAAATTACGACAGGAAGTCCTGTCATAGATGTGGAGTAAGCGACTGGGAGAGGATGTGCCGACCACGTTCGTCGCCCTTACTGGTCGGCAGGGGAGTTTTCCGACGCGGGTGTTTTATGCTTGGACGGAGAGTGGCAGCGATGGGCGTTAGAACCATAATTGTGATGATACCAACAGAAACCATCAACTGTAGGTTTGTTTGGAGTGGGAGATCTCGGGCGGCGAGAAATTGCAGGACTACGAGGGTTGTAGACACGAGTGGCCCGGAGCTGGGAAACTTCGAGAGTGAGGGCATCCAGGCGTTTGACGACATCCTCGATTGTGTGGGCAGTTGTGCTTCGACTAGCGACGTTAACCGTAACAGGAGGCTGGTAGTACTCGAGTATACGGTCAGCAGTCTCCGCGAGCATCTGAACAGTCGAAGAAGGAATGTTAGGCACAAGGATGGCTTGCACAGAAGGAGGCAACCGTTGGAGGAAAAGTTGCTTGAACATGGTGGCATCCAGCTTTTGTCCGTCTGCCAACTGCTCCAAACGCCTAAGAAGCTGCGTAAGCTTCCTGTCACCGATGTCCTCCTCAGAAATTAAACGTTGGAGACGTTTTTGCGTTGAGAGAGAAATGCGGGAAATGAGAGCCTCCTTTAGGGCAGTATAAGGGGCTTCTGTGGGCGGACAATCTATGATGTAGCGAAGGTCGGTGGCGATGTCCATTGGGAGTGCTGCCACAACATAGTGAAATTTCGTATCCTCTCGTGTGATCTGACGGAGGGCGAATCGTGACTCTACAGTGCGCAGCCATAACGCGATGTCACCGAGCCACACGGATGGCAGGTCAAAACTGTGAATGCCGGCTATCGGCTGGCTGGTTGAATCGCTGGACATAATTAGCCGGGGTCGGTCAGAGGTCAGATAAATGGGGTAGAGGACTGGCGCGTTGACAGAGAGATTGAAGGGTAGCGCTCGTATTGGATGAAAGGGTGAGACAGTGTGAATAGCAAATAAGGGCTAGATGACTAATCTGATCGATAAAAATTCGAGTGAGGATTAATCCGAATGGAAATAGTTAGGCACAGAGATTAAACAGAAGGAGCTATGAACGATATAGGGTCGCCAGTATAAGAGACAAACCCACTAGTTGGGCACAGCGAGTAGGCTATCCAGGAAACGAAAATAGCAGTATCCCAACAGTTACAAATTAGTAAATAAGAACAAAGTCGTCAGCAGGTAAACGTGCACGTGCGTGTTCTTTGTCTTATTCAAAGTTGTGTCAAAGCGTTTTGTAACTGATTAAAACAAGACAGACTTAAATGTCACTACACGCGTATAACTACCTTGTCCAGCTCGTTTTAAATCAGGAGTTATTTTCAGCACTGCACGCTACATCATGTATGCCACCCTCAGCGTCTTTGACCGCCACATACCACCAGCTCAAATTCCGACGGAATAGTTTAGACAGGTTGCAACCGGGACCAAAATGAAACCTCTCCTCGCTAAACATTTACTCACATTCTCGCAACATAATCTGATTTTCGCTTTATTTACGCAAAATTTTGTTCGAATGGCAGTCATACTGGGCACTTCGTCTGAGAATCATTGCCCATAGCAGCGGGCACACGGGCATTCCAATAAGCAATTATTAAGTACATTTCTAACTTTTTCCAGGGAGCCTGTTTGATCGAATATTTGCCTCACGGCAATTGAGCACGGGCCGTGCTCACATTCCTTTCACCCGTAAAGGTAAATAACCTCGTCACATCCCGCTAAGGTTTTCAAAATATTTAATACGGCCGGAAAACCATGCCAGTTACTGTTCCTCGAAGGAAGCTGTACCTACATTTTCGTGAGGAGGAGGAGGAGGAGGAGGAGGAGGAGGAGGATTTGGAGGATTTCAGGGTCACCGTCCTGCTCATTTGTTACTCCCATTTCTGTGCAGCCTTAACCTTCCTCTTAAATGCCCAAACGCTTGCTCTTAGTTAGACGTTCTAAATGGATGTTGTCTTATCGTTTCTTTTTCTTAAAGATCCTATTGTCTCAGACATGAAGTGCGCGATTAATGCTACGTCAAACGTTCTGTCGTTTGACCGTCCCGAACCTCGTGTGGCGTAATGTTTACATAATTTATGCTAGAAAATACCGTACATGGTGCACAATAAAACTAAATTTCGAACGTTTAGCATATAATCCTTTCCCGCACTTGAAATTTTTCTCACATAGAAGTTTGTTTGACTGTTCTAACAGTAGCATGTAAGAACACCTTCATTTATTGGGCACCAAGTCGAATTCGGAAGATGGGCAGCGCCTGTCCCCAATGTTTGAGGATATTTTTAGTTATTTACAATTTTCTGGTGGTGGTAAGTCTTCAATATCCACTATAAACCGATTGGCGTCTTACGTGACGTAATGTATTTGAAACATTCCTGTACTGTTGTAACATATGACCAAATATTCCATATAAAACATTTTACGCGAAGCTCTTATTTATGCTATATATGATTTTGCGCGAGATCCCAATAATTGTTATAAGTCATTTTTGGACATATGTGCTTGATAAAAGCTTGGTTATTTGTCACCTGTCGTAGACATCAAGTATTCAGATAACCTACATGTAGGCCTATATGGACATCGTTATGGGTAAATTCATTTTCCTTCAACCCATTTAATTTCTTACCCTTCTGTTTTTTATCGTATTGCTTAAAATTTCTGATTTTTGGGTCCGGATCTTATTTTGTGGGGCCAACTCGAGTAAATTTATTCGAGTTTTACATTTTCACTTTACGCTTTATTTTTACGCAAATGAAGGAGATAATTTGGTGAAATTCCAGTAAACCATTCTTTTCGGAGACCAAGAGGGTGGGCAAAATGAACAGACACTGTATGGTTTGATTTAAAATTTTCAGTCGTCCACGGTCTGTTCATTACATAGATCATTGCCATAAGCAGCACACGTTTAAATTTAAACGTGTGCTGCTTGTGGCATTGAATTATAAAAAAGGAACAACACGTAAATCTAATCGAAGACATCTAACTTTACATATCTGAACCTCAAGTTTTTTATTACAACTAAAGTCAACGGCATAGAAAATAATATTTTTATGTTTAGCATGAAATCGTTGCAAGTGCAGTCAACGAGTCGTGATACTTCTCACATGAAAGGTCGATAAGTAAAATGAGGTGCAAGAGATGGACAATTTTACAAAGTATGTGAGTGCGCGTATCTTTTAGTCCCGGCAAAGATATATTAATGCCCTACTAAAATATAGCCTTTCATCATGAGGAGTTTGTAAATGTTCGTCCTGCTCAGCATGTATTCGGTTATATCGAAAGTTAACAGCTCAGTTATCTTGGTCCCTTATTTAATGCAAGACAATTACGTACATCCAACATCGATCTGTTTAGGTTCAGAACGCTTTTGCTTTCATATCTAGAAGACGGAAATTCAATCTTTCCCTTGGATTTAATGTAAAAGACAATTCGTGGACAGTTCTCTGCCTAAAACGATACTTGTCTCCCCAACAATACAGTCGTGTCATATTTTATCAATGATTTAAAAATGCAGTTTTATGGAATACAGCGTCCTGAAAGACTTTAATACTTTTTAAGCGTGACCCCTTAGCCCAAGTAGTAAAACGTTCGGATCTAAATCTCAGATCTCCCCAGTTTGGGTTTTAGAATGACTGCTGTCAACGACAAATAACTGGAAAATGCGTAGTTGACCACCTTATAAAATCTCATACATGGGCGGTTTGACTCAACTTATTCACTTCTCTACATTTAGAGGAGGGCCTATTCTGCTCATCATTGCCGGTTAAAGCGAATCGGGCGCACTTTCGAGCTTTCACGACATGCAACACGTTTCGGTCTAGGAACTTGAAAAATGGCGATTAACGCCGCCCCTAGGACTGTAAACCAGGTTGTAAGCGCCCCTGTCTCATGCTGCCACATGACCACTCTCGCCTGTCATCTCCTGTTAGACGAAATCCTTTTACTGTCCGTAGGGGTGCCGGCGCGCTTGTTGCACCTTTAGCTGTGTCCGATGCGCTTGAGCTGTGCTGCTATTGTGCGAGACCAGAACGGGTACCACATCGGTTGGTGACATGCCCTAATCGGGCACGCGTCAGACGGGGCTGACGTCAATAAAAGCAGTATGTTTAACCGCAGTTTATGTGCCCTCAGGCTCAGACTGCTCAGTGGTGCATGAGAGAGGGAGGCCGACGTTGGAATAACGTTCTTCGGGGTATTTTAGCGTGTTCCTCATTGTAACCAGTTTTTGCACTCAGAGATTGTCATGGGACGCCAGTAGCCGCGACTTGGAATGCTGCCAGATGCTGGATAAATTGGTCCTCCATTGAATGAGGGCTAGATTTCAACGGCTTTTTACTGTGGCCTTTATGGTCTCTCATTCACGTAAATTTTGAACGCGCTTGTTGTGCAGATTCTCTTCTCCAGTTCTCTTGAATCAGACTTGCACTGGTAACGGGTGGGGTCGATCCAGCTCCTATTCATCCTTTCAGTTCTCCACCATATACAACCTTTTTAACTATCATGATGTTCTAACAACCATGACTGAAAAAGCGGGTCAAATTGAAGTGACACTAAGAGCCTGGCTGCAATATTCCTTATTGATATGGCTTTTGTACCACCATTTACCCACGTGAGATCAGTACCTGCTCTTTGAAGAATTCTTTCATGTGAATTTATCGACTAACTCGTTTGTGGCAGGCACAGACTTACATTCAATCTCGTCGGCCACTGAGTCCGCCCTCATCCTTGGCTCTTCTGACTTTCGAATATCGTAGGGGCGGAAACAGGTGATATGGTCGGTGCTGTACAACTCACTATAATTCAAGACAGGCGCAACTTGCTACTGCTCTCGCTGTCCGGTAAACGAACCTTAGGTCGGGGCGCTGTTGTGGTTGATGGTAGTGGCTGCGGTGGAGGTTTTGAGGGGTTTACTGACGGGTGGTTTATGTTAGGACATCATACTTGGGTTGGCTATATATTTAGAAACCAAAGTATGCCGCTTATTTTATCCTGCCAGGAGAGTTCGCACGAATGTCATTCAGCAGCGGAATATCGGCAACGAGCTACAAGTAAAATACCTGAGTGATAAGAAAAATCGATTACAGTCCGTCTTTTCCTACAAGTGGGGTGTGGGAACAGAGGGAGGGGGACGATAAAAAACAGCGTGTTAAGAGGGAGTGAGAGTTAGGGGAAGGGGGAGAGCTCGAAGGAGTGCATGCAGTTGACCGACCTTTGGTCACAAAAGGCATGGAGATCGCACCAAGTCCTTCTGCTTTCGGGATGGCAGTCGCCTCTGCTGTTGCTGGCAGACGCTGGCCCAGGACAGTTCGGGCGCACCTTGCAGATCACATGGAAGACTTCGTTGGGATCCGCATGGTGCCTGGAGTCAACACGATGCGCGAGAATGGCACTGCCTATGCTCCTTATTTCGCCTTTTCTCACCCATGCCAGCATGTGTCATGGCTTCGAATCCCACTGAGGTCACCGAGTTTTTTACAGTTGGGCCAAAATGAATTATTTTAGATAGGTACAGTGAGTGACCGATCTCATGAAATGTTGGCTGAAATTCTGAAATGCGTTTTCGATTAGGAAGGATTACTTGGTCGCGGTTGTAATACTGATTATCTTGCGGCATAATCTTCTAAAATGTCGGACTCGGCAGGATGTCGGCTTTTAAATGCACTTCTCTTCAATCTTCTGCAGAAAGCGTACTCGGTAAAAAATGACCACTTAAGTAGCATGCATTTTTCCCATTGATTTTCTATGGTCTTGGAAATTCAAATATATTTTATACAAACCATCAACAAAAATATGCTTTCTTTTAATCAATCAATAGAGAATCACGTCTACCTTATATTTTGTACTTAAGGAAGGAGTATAATTAGGTTTTAAAAAATTTTCTAATTGCAGAATAATCTGAAGTCTGATCATTCGTTGCACTAGCGCTTAGTGATTTAGGTCTACAAGGTGCATGCGTTCCACGCAAAGAAAATAACATATTTTTCTATACCATTAAAGAGATATCATACAGAGTCCATAAACTTTTGCATTGAATGCGGACTATGTTGTACATTTCATGAGGAGCAGTGGTAAACGGCGAGGTACGATGCTATGTGAATGGACATTTCGCGGTCTTAAAAAGTCTCATAATTAGAAATTTTTTAAAAACGTTATTAAACTCCTTCCTTAAGCATAAAATATGAAGAAGACGTGATTTTCTATTGATTGACTAAAAGAAAGCATATTTTTGTTGATGGTTTCTATAAAATATATTTGAATTTGCAAGACCATAGAAAATCAATGGGAAAAATGCATGCTACTTAAGTGGTCATTTTTTACCGAGTACGCTTTCTGCAGGAGATTGAAGAGAAGTGCATTTAAAAGCCGACATCCTGCCAAGTCCGAAATTTTATAAGATTATGCCGCAAGATAATCAGTATTACAACCGCGACCAAGTAATCCTTCCTAATTGAAAATGCATTTCAGAATTTCAGCCAACATTTCATGAGATCGGTCACTCACTGTACCTACCCCTGCGACCAATATAACCTGCTCCACAGGAGAAAGTAAAGGAGTAAATGCACGTGGAAGTGGTCTGAGCTGGTAACTCATGCGTGTAAAACGGGGATGGTCGAGGATAAAACCCGGACTCTTGCCGCTGGGAGGATTTGTGAAGCAGCCTGGACAAGGCCTCTTGTCAGGAGTTCGCAAGAACACAGCGCGTGAACTCCTGAGGAAACACCTTGACCGGGCTGCTTCACAAATCTTCCCAGCGTCAAGAGCTCGAGTTTTATCCTCGATCAACCCCGTTTTACACGGAGGAGTTATCAGCTCAGACCACTCCTGTGTGCATTTACTCCTTTACTAGCTCCTGTGGAGCAGGTTCTACTGGTCGCACGGGTAGGCGCCTATCTAAGAGAACACGGGAACACCTTCCGACGCGGCTGAGAAAGGGTGAAGTTAAAAACACAAACAACGCCACTCTTGCACACAATTTTTGAGTCCGATCATCGTGTGGATCCCAACAAAGCTTTTCGTGTGATTTAAAAGATCCCACTTAACTACCCTAAGTCATGGGTCGGCGTCAGCCAGCAGCGGGCGCAGCATAGGCAACTGTCATCAGGTCAGGAAAAAACAGTCTTGTGCGCACAGAAGAACCCGGTACAAGTTCAATGTCTACCATGGCCAAAAACTGGTTAAGTGCATGCACCCCTCCACGTCCTCCTCTCCCTTTCCCCCATATTGCTCACTAACTCATAACTCATTAACTCTTATCACCCCCTCCCCCATGTTATTACGCCCAACGTGTATGAAAAGACGAAATATATAATAAATTTCTCTTACCTCTTAAGTTGTATTTGCATCCCATTGCCATATAAATGTACTAGCCCGACAAGAATTCATCGAAAGCGCACGTATGCTCGCTAACTGGTCTTCTACTATTAGTTGTGGTAGAGGGCATTAATCGATCGCTTTACATTATCTACATGTCCTTTTGTGCATAAGGGGTCAATATAGAACCCCGTAGACAGTCGTACAGCGACTAGTAATATATGCAGAGAAAGACTACCGACGAAGACAAGGGCCTGAACCCGCATTCTATTGGTTAGAAGTCAAGTGTTCTAAACACTGGGCCATGGGCCCGTTGTCCTGTCGGTTACGATCGGTCAATAAGCCCGAAACTCACTGCACCGTGCCTGACGAAAAGACGACCGAAGTCCACTTTCTGCAGGAACTCTACAGTTAACGGATATCCTGCCAGCTTTGTCAGAAAATTCGGGCGAAAAGCCAAGGGACGAAAACCGAGGGGCAGCCAATGTCGAAATGCTGGCGCAGAGTGCTAGTGTGTCCGAACAGTCCGTTAGACTGATAAGCGAATTTGGGATAGGCGTCGTGCACGGACCGGAAGCGACAATCCGCCGGAATTTCCCGTCAATCAGAAATATGGTGTCATTTACCGGATAGAATGTACTTGTGCTCTAGCCAATGATGTTGGTAAAACCGACAAACAGGTCTGTGCGAGATGGCAGTGAGAGGGGAAGATAAGCTTTTCTTTGCCGCCACCCACGCATCCTCGCTAGGGCACAGTATTGACTTCGAGTGCATGGGAATCTTGTACGACCGTATTTCGCGCCTACTGTATAAAGGGTGGCACTCGACCGAGAACTTGATTAATAGGCATATCGATCTGCCATCTGCTTGTCAAGCAGATCGCGCGAACAAATCAATTGCGCAGTTTAAGGTCATTCTCGGCAGAGGTGAGCTAGATAGGCAGTGAGTCGTACGGCTCTTTTATGCCTTGACGACGATTCGAGGTCCAGATAAATTATCCCGTTCATATATATGGTAGAAGGGCACTTACCGATCAGGATACGGAACATGCCCGTCCCAATGTGCATTTTGGCTCAATCTGGAGCTGTCGCAGGCAGTCGCATAGCGGCCAGTAATGATACAAGAAGTAATTCCGACAAAGACTGGGATGGTCATTTCTGGCTTATTAGTCGTCGTAATTCAACAACATCCAACACCAGGTCTGGGTAGCAAGGGATTTGAACCCGGACTTGTTATTCATTAGGCGTTTTCAAGTCCAGCGCTCTACCATTAAACTATGAATCCCAGACCTAGTTGGTTGAAATCGGAAATATCACTAATCGTTGAAAGGGCGTCCACCGGTAAGGTTATGGGACGTGCTCCTCCTCTTGCATTTTCGGGCTCAATCTAGGGCTCTTGTAGGCGCCTTTCCCCACCAAATATTTACCAGAATTTTTCGATCCACTTTCGGCTGGGAAAAATTACTAATATGAACTCACAGAAAGGACTGTTGGGGCACATTGCTCCCAAGTCGGTTCGTCAAATGGGCTTCTTTTCAGCCGCCCACGCTTATTTCGCTAGCAACACCATAACTACTTAGGCAGTATACATTTTTCTATCGATTTTCGAATGATGCTAACCAAAGTTTGTAGGTGACTAAACAACATTTCTTTTCTTGTACTCACTTCGTTAGAACTTGATTCTTCTTTGGTGTTTTCACACGCCGGAATGCAGTCTTTAGGTTGTGTGATTTTACTGATACCTGCGCGCTATACTTCTTCTTAAGACTCCGTAATCCTGAATACCATGCATACCCTGACTCAGCTGCACATAAACCTGTATACCCCTCTAAGGAAGGTCTGGTGCTGTTCTCTTCGTGGGCATCACTAACGCATTTTACGACAATTATGGGAACGTCCAAAAAAACCGAATAGAGACTTTTTTGAAATAGAAGAACACCCTGCCTTCGAACGCAAAATTTGAAGAGAACTTAAGCTCCTATAAAATGGGCGAAAGGAGTGAAACAGTGCTTAACCCCTTTATAAGGTGTTATTGCTTTTGTGTGTGGATTGGAAGTCGAGGCAAAAAATTAACGCCACTTAAGTAGCCATTCGTTTGGGCTGGGAGGACTCTCACCCAAAAGCCAACATGCAACCGTATAGAAATTTATTTGGCCAGAAAATCCTCAAGGCATACATGGCCATCTCATGAAATGTTGGCTGAAATTCTGAAATGCGTTTTCGATTAGGAACGATTACTTGGTCGCGGTTGTAATACTGATTAGCTGGCGGCATAATCTTATACCATTTCGGACTCGGTAGGATGTATGCTTTTGAATACACTGCTTTTCAATCTCCTATAGAAACGGTACTTGGTAAAAAATAACTACTTAAGTAGCAGGCATTTTTCTCACTGATTTTCGATGGTCTTGCAAATTCAAATATATCTTATAGAAATCGTAAATAAAAATGTGCTTTTTTCAGTCACTTAATATAAAATTACGTCCTCTTTATATTTTGTATTCAAGGAAGGACTATAATTAGGTTTTTAAAAAGTTTCTAATTATGAGATTTTTTATGACCGCGTAATGTCCATTCACATAGCATCGTACCTGGTCGTTTATGACAGCTCCTCGTGAAATGTACAACATAGTCCGGATCCGTTGCAAAATTTTATAAATTCTATATGGTATCTTCCTAACCGCATAGAGCAATATGCGATTTTCCTTACGGAGACAGCATGCGCCTTATAAACTGAAATCGCTAAACGCTAATGCAAAGCCAGATCTGGCTCAAAATTATTCGGGAATTGGAAAACTTTTTAAAAATCTAATTATACTCCTTCCTTGAATAAAAAATATAAAGAAGACGTAATTCTCTATTAATTGACTGGAAAAAAGCATATTTTGTTTATGGTTTCTGTAAGATATATTTGAACTTGCAAGACCATCGAAAATCAATGAGAAAAATGCATGCAACCTAAGTAGTCATTTTTTGCCGAGTACGTTTTTTACAGGAGATTAAAAAGCAGTGTGTTTAAAGGCTGACATCCTGCCGAGTCCGAAATATTATAGGATTATGCCGCAAGATAATCAGTATTACAACCGTGCCTAAGTAATCCTTCCTACTCGAAAACACGTTTCAGGAATTCAGTCAACATTTCATGAGATTTCATGTAGATTTCGCGACACCGCCGAACTAGCCTTTATGGCCTAAAGCGCATCGAGAATATCGGTCAGCGCCCCGCATAAGTTTATGCGCTTTGAGGGCGGATTTATAGCGCAACCGATGGGCTCAAATTCCGGCTCGAAACTTCCGAGTTAAGTAATTTTGAACACCCTACTCGACCCTCCTAAGTGTTTTTCCCAAACTTCCCTGCCAATATTCCACGGAATTGTTGGTTTGACAAGGAGGGGTCAAAGTTAATCATCATCAAACAGGATGTTTAAAGTTCATACTTTGGGCACGGTTGTGGTCTGAGACGCATGAAGAGGCTCGACGTATCAAGGCCATTAGGAGCAACCACCTCGCCGCTCTGATGATGGGATCAAAGAGGTCTTCGAAGCGTCAATGCAAATAGTCTTCGGACCACGAACTCGCCTCTTTTTCTTCTTCCTCCTCTTATCAACCATTTTTGGGGGATCTTAAACGTGATGCGTATCAAAAGGAGAGTGGGCGTTCACCGGGAGGGGTTTATTTGAGATCCGACGTTTCGGGTAGTTTACTCGTCTACCCATCTTCAGGGACTGAGAGGTCCTGTGCACAGCACTCCTTATTATGGAGCCCTTTGTCCCGGTGAACGCCCACTCTCCTTTTGATATGCCACCTGGAAATCGGATTTTCACTACTATTGACGTGATGCGTATATTTGCGGCTAGAATTGACGACTCATCTGAAGTTGCGCACTCTTAACAGGACCCATCATGGGAGATAGACAAGATGAAGAACAGGGATTTAAAATAGGTCATCGCGGCTCACTCATGAGGCCTTCGTCTGTCTTTCATGACCTATTGGCGTCTAACGTCTTAGTGTGGCACTGATAGGCCGATTCTACGGTTGATCGAATTGGTCAGACTTCGATTGACTCCCTCGCCAATTTGCATCCGGCTCGCTCTAGTATATGTGCGCTGTCATAGGCAACTGGGCGATTATTCTGGAGACTGGGCGTGGCCACATTGTTATCGCGCGTAATTTTGCCTCACGGCCAGGGCATGCTCATGAATACGCATTCTCAGCCTTCGTCAGTCACGCCGCAGCATTTGATCAGGTAAGCTAAGACAGTTGACGCGGCTGCATGATCTACCGGGGAGCAGTGACCTCCAGCTTGTGTACAAGGCCCACGCTGAGTGACCTTAGCACGCGTTCTGTGACTTCCACAGCACCTCTCATGTGAAAAAAGGCGCGAGTTTTCGTCTTTTCTTGTCGTAGGCCTCTGTACTGCACTATGTGATGGCCCGAAGGAAGAGTGTCTGGACGTAACGGCATTTATGCGGCAGGGAGCGGCTGTGCCGTCGTAGCGGAGGGGTTTCTCCGTGTTTTCGCGCTTTTTTAAACGCGCCAGTCTGGATGGCGCCCTCTTCCTACCTTAACAGCCAGACAGCAAGGAGGGAGATCTCTCCATCTTTTTCTTCCTCCACTGTGGATTTTACTAGGTTAAAATAAAGTTCATTTCATAATCAAAGGTTCCTTTCACGTCTCGACTTGGGATAACAAAGATGTCATCTACGTTGCGCGTCCAGAATTGTGGTCTGTATGAGTAGGAGACCCTAGTTTAGAGTTCCCGGAAAGCCACATCAACGAGGTAGCCGCAGATTGAGGATCTCATCGGGTTTATTGGATTCGCTCGTAGGTTTTGTCTATGAGCCTGAAGTACGTATTTAAGGAGTTCTTTACCAGGCCCATCACGTGTTTTTTCTTTCTTTCTTCATGGTACATTTTCTTCGGTAGGTTACTGACGGCTACCGTAGCCAGTTATTAAGGGATGGAGACAAGGGCAGTCATAAGGTGCTGTCCTGGCGCGCTTTCCAGAAATCCGAGGACTGGATGCTCTTCTCTGACTGATTATTGCGTTCAACGACACACATACCTACGCACTGATTAAATAGCTTGTCGTGCAGTAGTAATGAAACCCCGATTACCATGTAGCATGTTAAAATAAAATGAAAAGAAGCGTTCACCAGGAGAGGTCTGACGTTTCGAGTAGTACTTTCACCCAGAAGGCCATGCGCAGAGCTCTCATTGTATGGCGCACCTGGCTTGATACACAGCTCGTCAATGCCGTCTGTGCTGAGTCAACCGCCACACTAATTTGCCCTTCTCCCTATCTGATTTTACAAACCCTCTTGGCGGAGGCGCGAGGCAATCGGAACCGTCAATTATCTCTGCGGTCAACGTGGAGGTGGAGGGAGGCGACGCAGGTCAAAGTAAAATGTGGGTCAGATGCAGCCACACGGGCATCATTGGCGGGCAACGCATCAAGCAAAGTGCGCCTTATGACAGTTCGGCCGACGATGTCCACCGTGTGCTCCACAGCAAGGTGAAGCATGCACGATGACTTGCGCGTGAATTAGTTTATAATGGGAGCATACTTGCGCAGCGCCTACCGCACTCTCTCCCCCACCTGGGCCCGATCTCAAGACATAGTCAAGAAGACCGGAGGTGGCAGAAGTCGCAGGTGACTGGCACGACCGGACTCGCATTAGGCGTACTGCCACACCCCTAGTCCACAACAAACATTTCACCAGGACTTTAACCAACAGCAACGGGTCGGAAAGACGAGGATGACTGGGCAACCATGCACATGACCCGTTTACTCAATGGGAGTGCAAACACATTTATCGGCCGGTAACCAGGTGCCAGAGAACTGCCAGCGCGCATTAGGCTGCGAGAATCATGGGTTTCTGAATAATGGCATAGCAGACGGTCACAAAATCTAAGGCCCAGAAGGGTGACACACAGCCCTGCGCTGAGCCCGGGCCAACACCCTTCACAGGCAGGGTAACCAATCAGTCATCGGCTGAGAGGAGCTACTCATATGCATACACACTTCACGCATGTGTGAGAGTGCCATAAAGTGCGCTCTGCAGTGAGAGCTGAGAGCACGACTTTCCAGTCTCTGAAGATGAATAGGCGAAATAACTACTCGAAACGACAGACTGCCAACAAGCCTCTCACGGTGAACGCATCTTGTCAGGCATTTTAGGGGACCGGAGGAGGGTTGAGAACACATGGCCATCTCCGCAGCGCGCTTCCCCGGAAAGCCAGTGATCTCAGCGTAGCCCATGATGACATACTGGTATCATTTTACCAGATACTTGTCGCAGAAAAAATATTAATGAAGAGAGAAAACCCATCCGAGAGAAACACGTGATGGTGCTCGTACATTGCCGCTTGAGTACGCTCTTCAATTTCAACAATTCAGGGTCAGATATGGCTATGTAGTCCCATCTGAAGTAAGCGAATACCATCCACCTGTAATACGGGATCGGTGATAAAAGGGGTTTTGCAGGCGGGGCTGGGGAACGCACAGGCGACGAGGTCAAATAGTTGTATGCAAAAGAAAAGCTGTACTTTTAACTGTTGAGAAATAGTTGCCCTAACCCCTAACCCCAACAGCATTGTGTCCATCAGGTGGGGCTACATAACCACATCCTACCCAATTCAGTCTACAAGCAGGTCCAATGGTTTCAGTGGGATCCCCGATATTCGGTGACCTCGCTGAGGCAGTTTTGCGAAAACTCTGAATTCGGGTCTCCTACTCATTTGATCCACACATCTGGACGCGTAGCATAGACAGCGCCTTCGTTATCCTACGCTGAGACTTATGAAATATAAATACTCATTAATTCATATACTCGCAGCCCAGAAACGTGTTTCGCCGAGGTTGTGCCACTGCATGACGCGCTACTGTGGATGCGCCTCATAGGTGGTTCCCCCAAACCCTCCCCTCATGTGCCCTCTGGCATATACTACAGTTCTTTATGTTGCCCTTTTTAATCCCTTCATAAATTCATTTGTGAATTTGGAGTACAATTGGCGAAACAAGAGTTTGAGCTTTTGGCCGGTACCTGCGCTGCAAGTATGATAAGGCTAATAGCATTTATATAATACTAACCATCTGTGGGCAGAATGTGAATATTACTCGATTATTCTGCCCAAGGTGATGAATTCGTGCAAAATTTCGGACCGAACCTGAGAGTGTTTTGTGCCGAAGAATCTACTCCAAATTCGCAGACAAATTAAATCTTATTTTTCCCAGTTTTAATTCACAATGGAGGGGAAAAACAGGGAGTCATTCCCTCCCGTGATGCTTCGATATCAAGACGGAAAGATGGAGCCCTTCTGACTGACGCTTTTCGAAAAGTGACAAACACGGCAAAAATAGTTCATTGCACCGGCAACCACCCCCACCCCGCCGCATAGATGCAGTTGCGTACAGGTCCTCTCTCTCTCTCCCGCTCTCCGTTCACCAGAAGGGGCACATTTATCTTTCGATGCATCGACTCCACGTTTTCAAAGTCCAGAGACTCCGTGCACTGAACCTTCATTATGTCACACATGGTTTGCATGCGTCTGGTCCCTGGCCCGTGGGTCGCATTTTCACACGACTACTTCTGGGCTTTAGAATAGGTGCGCTTTGCTCCTCTTCTTGCCACAGAGGCAGGCATCGACGGTTGTTGTGTCCAGCTTCGGACAGGGGGTGTTGCCTGCGACAACTCTGCAATACAAAACAAGGTAGTGATGTTGGCTGTGCGCAGACCCCTGTTCGACTGCACATTTAGATGCCCATTCGGCTGGCATTTCTCTGCTTCGCCTGTCTGACGCCCCGTTTCCTTGTTCGCTATATTTTTTTTTAAAACGCCACTGCGCGTTCGGTTGATGCCTCGTCATCTCCCCCCCCCCCCTCCGTCGCGTAAGCAACTAGGATCTCCCACCCTACAGTGCTTGCGTCATCGCTGATGGTTCTTAGCATAGGCGAATTCAGGGGCTTGTACCATTGCAGACGGGCAGTGAATAAAGTTCACGTATGGCTATTTTTATGTTTTAAATTCAGTCGCTACGAATTTTTGCCTAAATGTTGGGGAAGTCGTGCAGCAGAGGGCCTTATCCACAGGTTTCAGTGTATTCTTCTTATAGAGCTGGCATAAACTGCAAAAATTCATCCAAATAGGTTCCCCGAGGGGCGGGGAGCACTGACACTTTTTAAAAAATACACCTAACTGGTCCGATGTGTTTCTACTTTTTCACTCTAACGATCGCCATCCCTATTATCGTCTTCTGCCTAATAATGTTGCTATTTTGCTTTCCTCCTTTTTCTCCTATCCATTTTTGCCTTTTCACGATCTCTCGGATTGCATTATTTTGCATAAATGACCTCAAGAAATCCGTCTACATTGGAGATGAGGATGCTAAAGAAACCTTGTTTCCTCAAGGAGGATGATCATTTTTACCGTACGCAAGCGTTGTCACTTAAAGAATTCCCGGTCAGACATCGAAATATAGACCACCTGCTTTGCAAGTGGCCTTACGCTAAATTCCCAGAGAAGCGTACCTATTATCGTGTCCTAAATTTAATCCCAACCCTAACCCTGACCCTCCTAGTCCTCTTCCCAGCACTAACTCTCTCAGCCCTTAGCCTAACCCTTGGAATTTAGGGCAAGGCCATCTGTGATACGGGGAGTTCAGATTTATGTACCCAACCGGATTCACGGATTTTGGCCAATCTAGACTCGTTTTGTCTAAGAACGTGGTGAAAGCGAGAATCTGCCCATGATTATCATCTACAATAATTGTCCTTAAAGGATAGAGGATCGGATCTCACTTCCTAGCCGTACCTGCAGAAGACAAGCCTCAGCTTGACCCTTAACCCTAACCTCTAGACCCTAACCTCTAGACCCTAACCCCTGATCTTAATGCCTAATGCCTAACTCTAACCCAAACACTAACCCTTAACCCCTAACCCCCAACCTTAATCCCCAACCCAGACTCCTAACCCCAACCCCTAACCCGTAACCACTTACCCTAACCCCAAATAGGTACGGCTATGAAATGAGATCTTGCTGGGTAGAGCTTAGCATGTTTTTAGTGTTAAATACGTCCACCTACCAAGTCGCTCAGCTCTTGGTGTTCTTTTCATCCACTAAGCTGGTGGGCAAAGCATTTTGCTAACACCAAGGACGGGTACCGGACGCGGTTTCATAGGACGGCCTTACTGAGAGTGTTAGAACTCTTATTCTGTTATCTGGTCACCCGAGCCTACGGTACAGAGCGACCTGAGTTCCATGTTAGGCTATATTCGCATAAGGAAAAGATCTTGCAGTATGGACACAACGGACGTTGACGGATATTTTCCCACTACGCTGCTTTTTTAAAAGTATTTCGACGCCAGGAACAGCCTTTAATCTTGCCAGATAGCTCTTCGAGCGGACTACTGATTCACGTCAACCACTACCTTGCTGGCATACCTTGCTTACAAGGAAGTTTGAGGAGCTGCTCGAACCGACTCCTAAAAGTCGGACTTCTCGTGAGCTCGCTTTAAAATGCGAAATTCGAAGATGGGATTAACTGAATCCTACTGTGCGCGCAAATATCCATCCGAATGTCAAGTTCCACTCATTTTCGCATTCTCGAGAGTTGCAGTAACGCTGCTTATGCAACAAAAACAAGTGACAGTTCGGAGCTTATAAACTTCATCAGGATTTTTTCTGGCAAATTAATGCCAACTATCCAGGTCTATTTTTAAATTAGTCACACGTGCCACACACTTTTCATTTTGACGTCCAATTTCAGCCGACTAGCCGGGTATTGTTTGCACGAACCCACACAGTGAGTAAACGCCGCATTCTTCCCTGCATTTAAGCTCATCGGCCTAGTCATCCTGGGCTTTGCTGTGTTCGCCTACCTGGAGCCGGCAGCTCAGGAGTTAATTGAGGCCTCGGGGAGTCGTGTCATTGCCACAACCGTCATCTTCATCCTCATGGGCATCGGCACCCTGACCCTGATCGTGGCCCTTTTTGGTTGCTGTGGCGCCTACCACGAGTCCGCTGGTCTGCTGGCTACCTACTTCACCTTCCTAATCATTATCTTCACCGTCCAAGTCGTGGGCGCCACCCTCGGTTATGTATACCGGGATCAGGTAAGTGTTGGCCCATTCTGCCTTTTTTACACTGACGTCCGCTTCTCAATCCTTCTCGTTCCCTCCTTCTCTCAACCGCCTCTTGCGTCCTAAATAAGTCTACTCTCGGCGTCAGCTGCCATCTGTTTTACTGTTTTGCTTTCCTAGATTCTCCCTTTTGAAGCATTTTGTCCCCGGTACGAAGCTGAAGTAGGCAAGTAGGGCAGGTTTTAATGGTACCAAAAAAATTCGCGACGGCTCGTCAGCTGCGTCCTGTCGCTTCATAACATGGACAACGAGTGGGAAGAATACAACAGATTTTAATTCGTGCAGAAAATCAATGCAAAAACAGCAAGGTCACGGTTTTGGCTAAAGCTGGCTAATCGATAAAGTTAGTAACTCAAACACCGTATGGGAAGAATAGTGAAAAAAAGGGAGCGTTAACGAGCAAAAAAGTGAGAGGTGAGGGGGAAATCATGGAGCTAAAGGCTACCATGGCAATGTTAAGCTCACCGCATGTTCCAACTGTTTACAAAGATCTGGTTTCACTCGTCATATATAGGCCGCCTGTAGGTAACGCAATGTCCGAGTTGTTCGTGCCCGAACAAGTACTCGGAAGGAAGTTTTGGGATCGACGGAGTGACCATTATCAAGCGGGTGTTTCGTAATGGGGGAACGCGGAATTTTATTTTCTTGCTTTAGGGGTCATCTGGGCAGGTGCTCAATAGACCTGGCTGCCAACTGCCTTTTGCGTTCGCCCAATGTACTTGCATCCGCAAGTACATGTGACTTCATAAACACAATTTGAAGTGGCGTGCATTGGCAAGGCATCCTTTGTCCCTGGAATCAGAAGAGGCTTAGTAGGACTGCTCCCCTTTTTTCACTATTCTTCCCATACGGTGTTTGAGTTACTAACTTTATCGAATCGCCAGCCTTACCCAAAACCATGACCTTGCTGTTTCTACATTGATTTTCTGCACGAATTCAAATCTGTTGTATTTTTCCCACTCGTTATCTATGTTATGAAGCGACAGGACGCAGCTGACGAGCCGTCGCGAAATTTTCTTTATCATTAAATCTTGCCCTGCTTGCCTACTTCGTCTCACTTTGGGGTCTGTTTTCCCGCATAGTTAGTTCTTTTGTAGTTCTTCTTTCTTTCGTCTCATAATCTGCTGCTGCTGCTGCTACCTTTTCACCTTTTCATCCTTTCTCGTTTTATCTATTTGTCCTTCGTTTTCTCGCATCTATCTTCTTTGTCCTACCATCCCATGTCTTCCTTCTCACAATCCATAACATTCTTCCACTATGAACGTCCAGGTTGCGTGTGTTGTTCGATCGTTATCTTATCCGCTCTCCTATTCACTCCATCACGTGTTATCGATTAATTCACTGCCCTTGTAATCCCCCCCCCCTCTTGCGAGACCTTTTGTGCTGATACGTTAAAAAACGAAGACGTTACTTTCGACCCCTGTTGAGTATGTAAGAAGCGGTGACTGAATTTCCCCCGACGTGCGCCGCCGTTTTTGATCAAAAGGATAAGATTCTGTCAGTAGTGCGCTTCGGTTGCGTGGGTGAAGTGTTTTCGCTCCTTGGGGTCCCTAGTGCAGTTATCCAGGTTGCCAGCCTTCTCAGATCTTTTAAGCAACTGTCGGGACTGACATTTAAGCCGGGAGTGAACGAGGAACTGACCTCCCACCCCGCATTGCGTTTCTGCGCGAACCACTGATCCGCAGTCGAACCTGTCCAAACGACTTTGCCTTGAACTAATTACAACAGTATCAACCGTTCCCAAGTCCTGGAACTCGAGTGTCCGAATGACAAAGTCATCGTCCTCCAGCCGTCTGTATTTTGGCAACCGGTACTTCTCCAGATAGCTTTAGGTATCACGAGAGTTAAAAAGCGGTACTGTAATGCATATTGGTAATCGGGCTTAATACGTCATCTAGCTCTTACAGTCCAGTTCCATTTACACCACCTGGAAGTGTACACTTCAACACTAAGGCAGGCTTAAGGCCTATTATTGGGGCATTTCTTACTCGTAGCAGAGTATAGGACGGTTTTGGTTTGATCAATCAGTTAACCGCGGGAGGGCTTGTCTTTTGAGACAGACATCCCTAACGGCCGTCGTGCCGCTGGTTATAAAGTCCGTGCTTGGAAGTATCCCCAAATTAAGTCGTACGAAGCTTAAAACATTCACCGCTGGACTTTTTCCATGTTTGCAAGTTGGTACTTAATCTCCAGGCATTGGTCCTTTGCTGTGCTTGAATCTAATTCCGTTCTCAGCATTATGCTAGGTGAATATGAAAACTTGACTGTTTTTGCTCCCCCGGCTTCGGCACTGCGTGTATATTGCGTTTTTTCTGGCAAAAATTGTCTGGGATGATTCCTAACCAATAAGCCTCGATGAAGCTGATGGAGGGAGGTGATTACGGATGGGAAGGGCGACAACGGAAGCGATGAGATTGCATACAGTTGCGCAAGTTTTTTCTATTGTAATCGAACTCCATCGTGGATAGCCGACTAAACAAACCGGATGAACGCCTTTGCCTCGCTGTCTAAAGGTGATTTTGTGTAAACGCTAACGCAGCGCAACGCGATGCGTGAAGTATGCCAGCCCTGGCAACCAGCTACATCCGACGACCATCCTACGTGTACGTGTGTCCACGCGGTCATGTGTAAAACCGGCGGCTTTGCAGATTTCGTTTGCTCTCTTAGCGAGAATTTCCTGTGCATCTGAGCCATCTTCAACTGCCTGCACTTTTTCCGTACTCGGTTTGCTCGACTGTCGTTAGCAACAAAGCCAGCCAGAAAACTATCTAATTTCAGCATTTAGGGCATTATCATAGTTCAGTTGTCATTAGCTAGCTCGTATTTTACTGTTACGTTGGCGCATTGATGGCCGGTTTAAGGCGACGATTCGTGCTTTTTTTCAACACTCGCCCATTTGTCCGATTTCTAGCTTTGTTGGTGCCCGAGAAATTATTTAATTGCAGGGAACTCTCAGAACCAGGAGCTGTTTCGTGCATTCGGTTTGTGTCTTACAAAAAACGATTTACATTCTGAGTTAACTTCGCCATGTATGTATGTATATATTGGAAGGGTTAGAGGCAGAGCCTTTGATGACCCTATTTATTTACAATGCTTTCGTAGACCTATTTCCTGTGCGATTCGAGGCCGTGCTTTCCAAAACAGAGAATCTTAGACACGCCGGATGGCCGCTGAATCCCACTATGGGTCACGACTGGGTGTAGTTAAAAAATGACAGGAAGTTTCCTGTCCCGTTCACAAGATTGCCCATCGCCCTTTCCACAGCACTTCGCTGGTTGCAATGGGGGTGGGTGGTGCGGCAAGATCCTATTTCATAGCCGCACCTGTTAGGGGTTAAGCTAGGGCTTGTTTACTGCAGGTACGGCAACGAAATAAGATCCGACCGGTTGTGGGATTTGGTGTTTGACGTGATCGAGTAGAGAAGATGACTCGCGTATGAAGTGAATTATAGTGAGGAGGACCTGAACATAATGACGTAGCACTCTTGCCGCTCCGAGTGTGATTCAGTAGAAGGACTAAATCTGGGCGATTGAAGATGAGATAAGACGCAGTGGTTAATTCGACTTATGCGTACGTGCCACAATACTTCTGTGTACTAACCGGCACAACCTACACACAAATTCACTGAGTGGCGATCGGCACGCCGATTGTCCTCATCTGGTTTAGTCACTTGGCTGATACGGTCCCCGCCGGGTACGGCCGTCGCTCTGGGCGCAAATTCACGGGCCGCTGACTAGCACTGCATGCCCGGGAGGCGTAGGTGAGTAGCCACCTCAGCATCCAGTCCGAATAGTGCGGATGAGATTACCGACAAAGGCAGTATTAGTCGCCATAAGCCAGCCGCACTTAATCCCAGGTCTGGAACACCTGGACTCGAACCTGGGATCTTTGTTTGTTAAGTCGAACGCCCTACAGACTCGTCGTTCTGTCGGTTGCGGTCAGAAATAGTAGCTATGCCGAGGGCACGCTCGCTTGTCTGTCTACGGTTGGGTGACGGAAGGTGAAGCGAAGATAGTCAAAGTCTCGATGCCCACATATCTGGTAGGCACTTTCCACCCTGTCAAAAGTGTTTAACTCTTAAAGTAGTGCATAGCGTACAGCAGAACTATCAGAAGCCTCTTCGACATTGTCGTCTGGTCATTGCAAATGCGACGGCAATCTGACCCTGTACGTCGACGCTAATGGTTGCCATGGCCCAAACATAGTTATATGACTGTATGCTTGTGATTCGGCGTAGGACGATTGCTCACAAGCAACCATCCACCACGGCATTTTATCCCAAATCCCCGCAACCATCCTTCATCCAACTCTCCGGACTGTCTAACAAACAAGTCCTCCTTTTTTAATCTTGCCAGTAACTGCAGAAGCGGGGGGTGGGGGAGAATAGATTAAAAACATGTGTTTTTCATTTTTATCCGCCAGATACTACTCAACTTTGTCGTCCAGATTAGGCTTTTTACGCGATCTAAAATCTCAATCACTCTGCTTCCGGTGTGCGCCGCTCTGTCAGTTCGATTTCGTAATGGCTGCCGTCTGTAGAAACTGGTCCGGCCAATACAACCGAAATTTGGCGTGGAAACTATAGCGTCATCCACATGGGTTAAGTCGTCCAAGTTGCCAAGTTGCCATCCAAAGAACCCGGAGTTATCTCACCACCATTTGCCTCAGTGCTTTTCCGCGCAAAGTTAATTAATCCCGCGTCAGTGGCCGATGGACGTCAAGCCTTCAGTCCCACGCCTCGGAAGAAAGAAGGACAATGTGTCTATCCTCGTCTTGTTCGCTTTTGGGACAACAGAGGCGCCTGAGTCGCTGCGACTGGAGCCAACCTGCCCTCCGCCCCTGGCTCTCTACCCTACTGATTATTTCAAGACAGTTATAAGCAGATGACGACCCGAAAGCCCCTTTGGACGTTGATATTGCCAGACCGTTGGTTAGCCAATCACCTATGGTGACTGTGGGCGCAAACCTGGAGAGTGGCAGACTGGGAAGGAAATACGGCTTTTCTGCCCAGAGTGTGCACCCCGTCCTTTGCCTAGACAGAGTGCCTCGGAGAGGGAGGGAGAGAGAGGATTTGCCGAGAACGCAGATTCTAGGGAGAGTTTCTGCCTCCCGTGTTGGTCGGTGACCTAACATTTCCGCCTACTCAACTGTGCTCAGACATTCAACTACGACAGTACTGCCTCGGCCTGGGAAATATTCATTTCAAAAGCCACGTTCAAATGGCATTTACTGATTTAACCGGATTATTGGACAGGATACAAATGTTCTTTCGTTCGACTCCTTTTTCTGTCCAAAGTAGTATGCACTGCTCAGGCTGAAACTTCTTATCAAGTAGATTTATTCGAAACCCTGTCTTTTAAAAGCCCTGGAAGTTTCCGCATGACCGCTAGAGAAAAAAGGTACCTGAAAGATCTGCACCCCGTATCTGCGTATAAAGACCAAAGGAGCACAACTGTTTCCGCAGTCCTTGTGAAGCTTAGTCCCCCCCCCCTCCCCGGTGCCCTTTGTATCTCATCCCTGTCTGCTCAATAAAACGCTACGGCCGAGAATAGTTGATGCTGGACGGAACCAGAGCACATGTAGAAGATGTCTATCTATTGTTAAACTATACAGAAGACGTCCATTCTCTCATTATTGTGAATGGGACAGAACAGAACCCAGCCTCAGTCCTACTTGCCAAAAACATACTTTCAAGCTGAACACCCTAAAACTTCACAAGAGTACACCTTGATGCCTCGGTTTTGCCAGCCTTGGTGAGGAAATTTAGGTGAGAAAAGATTGTAGGCAGTCGTCTTGCTATCGGGTTTACTTTAAGGTTATGGTTAGGATTGCACTTAGGACGAAACCTAAGGTTGGGGGAGGTTGTAACCGTCTCTGACCAAGTTTTCTTCTAAAGTGCTTTGGCAAGACCAATTTAGGGGGCGCCAGTGACTAATGTTTACGCCAAACTAAGTGCTTAGGCTGCCTTTATGATGAGGCGAATTCGCGTTATCGGACCAATCTTCTCACTTCCAAGTTAAGAGCAACATAAAACCTCCTCCAGAAACCCCATCTAACTGAGTTTAGTGGGTGGTCATGAGGACTTTTGAGGACCTTTCGGAGGATTCAACCTTCTACACCACCTGACCCATGCGTCCCAAAGTTGACACACAGTTATATTAGCGCCTCCTTTTCCGTAGCCTGTATTCATTCCATTCTGGATAATGGGGAAAACTTGCGTATAGCCTATTGGACGCTAATACCGTCGTGAGTGATATATAGACCTGTCGTGTAAGAGCATTTTTATAGAGCTTGAAGTAGCACTTCCTTCTCAGACTTTATTTTTAAGTTAAACATGGCGTGAAGTTAAGTCCCAATTATTCTTTCCCGTGAATAGTACTGTGGTGGTTGATTTGGTAGATGAAAAACATGGTAGTGGGGATCGTTTATATGGTTCCACGTCGAGGCTGAGGGGTAGGAGCGCCCTCCCCTCAATACTGGAGGCCTTGCGCTAAATTCCATTGGGAAACATATCCCCGTGTCCTAACCCTAACGTGAGCCCTAATCAAAACCTTAACCGTCACCCTAACCCTAACTTCCCCGCATTTCAGCACAAAACTGCCTCCATTACGGGGGTTTCCATTTCCGCGTCCTGCCGGGGAGAAGGGCCGCATAAAAAGCCTTACCAACAAGATAAATAGGAGGAAAATTGTCTTTAATCACCCTTCCGTCTCATAGAACGTGCAGTGTGTTTATTGTCGGCCGGAGGTGGATTGATGCGTGGATGGTGCAAAAGTGATGGACGATGTTTCCATCGCCGGAGATGATTTTATGTAGCCATTCGTGAGTGAGCGCCCCGATGCAGATAGTGACTCTTACAGAAGACTTTATCAGCAGGTTTAGTTGGTCCTTTGTGAAGGAACGGTATTTCGTCGCATAGGTGCGCTGCAGCACCGAGGAGGAAGCCAAACCTGCACCAGTATCTAGGGCACCTTTCACTCCCTCCCAGTCCCCTCCCCCCCCCCTCCTCTAGGATAGATGTCTTCGCAGTGTTGCAAAACATGTCTGCACTAAAGTCGTGCACACGTCGAGAGTGTTTTCGGGCGACGTCCGAAGTAGTTTCTCATTACCCTATTCAAAAAACTCTGAGGATAGAGTGTATCCTGGAACGCATAGACGCTGGAGTCAGTCTGCCAACTGCTTGTAAAGGCGAAGGTTTCGTTGCCAGACGCGGACACACCTGCGGCTCTTTACGGCGTCATTTGACGCAATCGTCTGACCAATCATTACAGAAACGCCAGGATGCAAATGGCAGGCAGCGATGAGGAGGGGAGGGGTGTTGTTGTTGTCATACCTAGCCTACTTTCGAGAGTGCATAAGTAGGTTGACGACTGATCGTGGAAAAAAATGAGCACGCATTCCCACGCACGCGATATGCCTCTAAGCATGCTTACCCCCACCCATGGGGTCGTCTGTCACGAGCTCGATATCAGGCAGTCTTCTGTCTTCAATGCATTTAACACCTAGCCTTTTATTTACAATAATGCGCTTTAGAGTTCGAAGATTCAGTTGGTCCCTCCACATTCCGCTGTGGCTACTTTTGGACGATTTATTTCGGCGACCTATCCATGGAATTAATTCCTTTGATTAGGTTGGCTATCTCGGTGCACTAGATCCATGAATTATTTCGTTTCGACTAAGAAAAAAATAATTAGAGTGGATAATGTGAGTCTCTTGCAACATTTATCAAATTTTAGTTACATTGATGAGATATTTTTATTGACTCCAGAGGAACGAAATCTATCGACACAACCAGTCATAACATTTCCTCGCGTATACGTGGGCTATAGCCGGAACTTTGAAAGCGATAGATTCTAGACTTTGCTGTTGTGGTCAATGGATTGTAAGCTGATCTAGTTCGGGCAGGCTATAATAAACTGCGAATGTTAACGGTCACGGAATACCTGCTGTTAGACCGGCCCGGATAACCGGGTAGGTGGGCTAACTCATGCAATGTCAAAAAAATTGCGAAATGATTTTTCGTTTCGAAATGATTAATTAACAAGGGTTGTAAAACTAATCATCGTGCAGCGTAATTCTATAATAATTCAGTTACCTCAGGATGCCAGCTTTTGACCGAACTTCTTTCCGGCTGCATGCAAAAAGTAAACTCTGTAAAAATGACTACTTGAGTAGCACGCATTTTTCTCATTGATTTTAGATGCCCTCAAAAATTCAATTATATTTCACGGAAACATGCATAAAAATATTCATCCTTTTACTGATTCGGTGGGAATTTACGTCTTCTTCCAGTTTTGTACTCGTAGGAAGGATATAATTCGGTTTTAAAAAGTTTCTAATTGTGAGATTTTTTAACGTAATTTTCTACCAAATGAGTAAGAGAATGAATATTTTTATGCATGTTTTCCGTGAAATTTAGTTGAATTTTCAAGGGCATCGAAAATCAATGAAAAAATGCGTGCTATTCAATTAGTCACTTTTTTACAAACTATAGTTTCTGCATGCAGCGGGGAAGAAGTTTGCTCGAAAGCCGATATCCCGAGGTAACTGAATTATTATAGAATTATGTTGCAGGCTGATTAGTTTTACAACCCTACTTAATTAATCTTTTCGAAACTAAAACGCATTTCGGAATTTCGGTTGGCATTTCATGAGTTAGCCCACTTACTGAACATCTGCTTGTCTGGTCGATCTGTTGCGACCACTTCCCCTCCGCCTTCTCGAATTACTTGGTGGTTTGTCTTCCTAACTCCCATGGACAGCCTATTACTGAATGAGTGATCTCTGTACGCGAATTTCGTAGGACGTCTCTTGAGCTCTGTATCGTTCAAGAGCGGACACTTGACAGTGTGCATCGCCCTCTTGGTTACTACCCTTGTTTGATTAGGTTTTGAGACATCCAGGAGGTCTTTGACTTCCCGTGGTCCGTTCTAAGCACTGCACTCGATAGTAAGTCCAGGGAACATTTTGGCGTATGGTTTTGAAGAATACTGAAGAGTTTTTGCCTTTCGAAACTCTAATTACTTCCCTCTAGGCCTGAGTGCACAGAACGGCTTGATGTTGTCATGGTTGCAGCTTCTAATATCCTTCGCGTGCCTCAGAAGTTTTTGTAGCACTCATGCGTTATTTATTTCCACAACGTTTCAAGAGCCAATAGGCGCGCAGTCTTGTAAACGTCAGTCCAAACCTTTATAGTCCCCGAATGATTCCCAGTTAATGCGTCCCTAGAAGAGAAGGGGCCGAGAATGCTAATCGATGCTAATTGAATTCGCTAGATCTGAAAGGTCAGCCTCCCGAAAAAACCCTCCAAAGCCCCGGCCAAACAACCTCTGTAGCCTTATATAAGAGAGCCGAGACTTTCCGTGTATTAAACAACATCCAGCCGGCCTACGCCTCTTCAGTGTCGAACAAATATTCACCTGGACTGCCCAAACGTTCGACAAAATGGTAGAGTGGCACTCACCGGTCGCGTTACGGAACTCAGTCGTGCTGTTGGGCCTTCGGGCTCTCTCTCGAACTCAACCGGTTGCCGCACAGCGGCGTGCAGTATAGGCAGAATAACATTACCCACAAGAACAAGGGAGGCTTGAATGGTCACTCCTGGCTTGTTAGCCGTCGTCAGCCATCCATGCGCCATCTGGCACTCGATCCCGCGACCTGTTGGTTAGGAGTTCAACGTCCTAAACACTGAGGCACGGGGGTTCGTTGTCCTACCGTTTGCGATCGGAAATATTAACAATGACGGAGGGCGCTCATCGGTAGACGAAAATGCCACCTGAAAGCGCTGTAACATTCAATGGGCAAGTCCACGCTAGGGGCATCTGTGACCCTCCTTCGGGTCTCTGACTCTTCTCCCTCGCAAGCTCTGCGTCATATATTCTGCTGGGGAACTTTGCTTCTTTCGCAGAATGATCGAATGTACCGTCAAAATAAAGTAAGTGTGCATTCGTGTACCTACGTCGACGACTGGGACAACAAGTGGGACGTGATGGACTCTGTCCCGAAGTTCCCTTAGGATTCACGACGAGACATCTTTAATTTGACTCCCCAAATTCCCCCCTCCTCATCCCGGTTACACCGACAGCCCTTGCGACTGAGGTTCAGGACACCGGAAACAGCCTCTAACCACGTCAACTTCTGGCCTCTTCCTCACCAATATTCCTCGGTATTTGAACGCGTTCCTCCAATGCACTCGGCTCTATTTCCCTCCTCTTGCGGTGCGACGGGCTGTGTGCACCTCGAAATGCTGTGACGCTTCGGCCCTTCTAAAGGTTTACAGTGTTCGAACCTTAAAAGTCCTGCCGGTTCGGTCTCGTTTCACCCTGCGTTAAGGGGGTGCGCAGGCGACCTGTGTGCATTTATGCAAGCGCTGTCTTCAGTTCACTAACCGTTGTTTACACTGCCTCTCCCCCCTGTCTACCCACATGCGCATACGTCGAACGCTGACAGACTGCAAAGTACAGCCCTGCAGCCGTCCGTTTGCGGGAGTTCTGGATGATCCCAATCCTGCGTCCTGATTCATGTTGGACTTAGCGACGATAGCGTTAACGGCAAAAGTGGGAACCTGAAGGAATTTCTCTGCCAGTAATAATTTACTCTCCTGTTGATTTCTGCTCACTGTGCGCTAGCCTCCCAGGACTCTAGACTGGAACTCTAAAACACAACGGAACGCCGACAGACCCTGAACGCCTAGTTCAAATTGCAGGACTTTCGGCTCTATGACTAAATGGATGTCTGTTCAACGCTTGTGACCTGCCAGCCTGAGATCTGAAATCTTCCTGGCTACCGAGAACAAATATGCCATAACTGGCCTCTTTTTTCTTTTTTTGTAATGGTTTTTTCATTCCTGATTGCTCACGATTATTGGCCATTTTTGAAAAAGCTACGAGACTGCAGGACAATGTTTTGCAAAAATTATCACGATTCCCCCACTGAAACCCACGTATTAGTGTTTCTATCGTGGGAGAACTTTCCGTTTCCCGTTGGACTGGAGGACCCATGTATACGCAAACGTTGAAAAGGAAGCGTCCTCTGAACCCAAAGTCGCCCTCCTAACTGTGCCCGGGTCTCACTAGACGGGCGATGAACTCCGAAAACTATGTGCACGTCAGTCATTCGATCCACTTTTCCTCGAACACGCGGTTAACTGCCTGTTTTTTGTTAGTCGAGGGAACAATGGAAAGATCATGAAAAAAAAACGGTAAGGAGAGGGAGCGACGTAGATGAACCAACATACAATCTGCTAAAGTCGTTGAAGAAGAAGAGGAAATCGGCTCATTTGAACTTTGCACCCGGAACTGCATTAGAATATCATTTCAGTGGGGGATACCGCACTGCAGATACATATGCACATATACAATGGTAGAGGAGACGCTCACTGATCGCGTTACAGAACTCACTCGTCCCACTTTGTGTTTCGGAGCTCCCTCTCGAACCCCGCCAGTAGCCATACAGCAGTGCGTAATATGGGCAAAATAGCATCACCGGTTGGCTGGCGACGTCTAATAAGCCAGAAATGGCCGCTCCAGTCTCCCTTGCCTTTGTCGGCAATGCTATTCTGCATATGTATACGTATGAATTTGAAAATGGGCATCCCAAGAAGCATAATTCGGAAGAAATAAGTCCTTTGCGAAAGAGAACACAATTTATTTCATAAATTTTCGACCTTGGTTCCCCAAGTCGTCCTCGGTAAAATTTAAGCATGCCTTAAAATCAATATTGCCCTGTCACTCCTGTCGGTCAACCCTTTACTGTGGGTTGATATCACGTTCTGATTGGCTAAGGCCTCTCCCACTTTTCCTTGAGATTGTACACGCAATCCAATCCGACGTGACGCTGGAAAATGGACACAAATTTGCCTGGAACAAGACTCGCACTATAGGTGTCCGTTCACGTAAGAAATGCCGGAAATATTCAGAGACCATTCATTCTGTTAGCCAATGCATCAATCGACACAGCGAATTGGGTGCTGTGTAAAACAATCTCAAAGAAAAGTGGAAAAGGCGTTAGTGAATCAGAACGTGATGTCAACTAACAGAAAAGGCTGACTGGCAGGATAGACAGGGCAAAATAAATTTTCAGGCATGCTTAAATTTTACGGTTTTATACACCTGCTTCACGTCTGAGGACGACTTGGGGAACTAAAGTCGAAAATTCACGAAATAAATTGTGTAATCTTTCCCAAAAGAATTATTTCTTTCGAATATATGTATATATATATATATATATATATATATATATATATATATATATTAGCAGCGAGGAGGGACGACATATATATGTGCGGGATAGTACTACCATCAAAGAAAAGAAAGACTTGAGCGGCCATTTCTGACTTCATCTACAGCTTCCTTAATTTTTTTCCTGTTATTTCCCGCATTGATTGCACTTGACCTTAAGAACGAGGAGAAAAGGAGTCTCCAGTGCTGTCACTTGCTGCTAATGGATATTGTTGCATGTGACGAGGTTAACCTTGCATTAGTGCAAAATGGGTCTTTGGGCCTGCGTAGTGACAGAGTTTCTTTTGAGGGGAGTGGGGGTAAAAGTGGCTAGAAGTCGCCTGAATCAGCGTCCAATGATCTGTCCTGATCCCAGCACACAGTGTGGGTAGCCTGTTTTGCTATGCGACTCCTGTCTCCGGCAATCGGTGGCTGGTGGACGGTAGCAAGGGTACGGAAATCAAGATTCCCTCTTCCATTGTTTTCGTCGTTAGTGCCTCTATAATAAACCTAGCTTGAACTGACTTAGTAGTGCCTCCAGTTAGAAGCAAACTAGCTCAAAGTGCAAGTCGCCTGTCCCTCTTTGAACTCGGAATCCGAGTTCAAGAGCTGCTTGCCTCTGTTCTGACGAGGGTTTTATACCACTTCAATGTAAAGGTACTTCACTTGTACGACTTTCGACAGCAAATATATAAAACAGATGGGTCAAGCCTCTGAGGATTAGAACCCCGTGACCTCCAATGGCACTCTTTATTCAACTCACGAATGGTCGTCACGCCTTTCTGCTGGGTGTGCGTTGCAAAACCAACATTCGGGTTGATCAACCCTAATTTGTTCGTCGTTGAGTCATCTCTTGGGATCCCAAAACGAAATCAAATCAAACCTCCCAGCGTCCCCTGTCACTGGGACGGCTGCCGGCAAATGTCAAATCAGAGGGTTTTTCATAGCGCGCATACGCGATTGCGGGGACGGAAAATGGTGCAGACGCAAGCCCCTGGACGTCTAGACAGGGCAGTAGCTGGTGCGCATTACCTGCATGCACCTCCGCACAGTGTGCATTTGAGTGCTCACGTGCACCCTGATATTCAGATCGGGGCTACTGCGTGCGCTGACAAGACAGCAGGGCGGAGGGGGAGGGGGGACGGTAAGCAGGGCGGCGACGTCAGACGCACTGACGACAGCAACCCCCACCTATGATGAATAACCTGTCCGGCGGTACAGTGACGAGGAGTGGAAGTAGCGGTTGCGCGGCGTTTGGCCCTTTGGCAGGGAGGGGGGAGGGGTAGGCATACATCGCTGTCTGCATGTGTAGTATAGATCCAGGATGCTCGGTCTCGGTTCGCAGTTCATGTCGGAATTGAGACATTGGCGGTTGTGTAGAGCTAGTTTAGGACCCATAGTTCCCGGCTAGGGAGTTCGCAGAAACCTTCTTAAGAAGAAATTTCCTTTGTAGCTTTCGTCGATCATAGACTGCACTTTCCAAGTCGCAGAAAAAGTTTTGCAATAGAATGCTTGCTGAAAAGGCACGTTTTTTCTCGAATTTTCAGCTTCTTGTTGACGCAGAACCAACCATGCGACGGGGCGTTGATGAGTACTTTCAGCAAGTGAACCCCAACACCAAAGTCCGTTTCATGGATTCTGTACAGAAACTGGTGAGTGCTGTAACCTTCTGCCTACTGCTCAACTCGTTCCATACCTTGTCTGTGTACGAGCGCTTTTAGGCCACACACACCTAGGGCCGGCATCTTCTAGACCTCGAATGCGTACGACCGAGGCCGGCCACACAGGACTAACCCTCATAGTTTTCCGTCGTTTTGCTTCATTTCTCGCATAAGAAAGTCTATTCGGATCATTTAACGGTCGGATTTGGTTGGTAGGCCCACCTGAAGAAAGCAAACTCCAGTCACCTCTAATAGGGGACCGGTGGTAATAGGATTTTACAGGTGGGGCCTGGGAACGCACAGGCGACGAGGTCAAGTAGTTGTATACAAAAGAAAAGCTATTGGAAATGCGCGGTTGTACTTTGAATGGGTGAGAAATAGGTGCGCTAACCCCTAACCCCTAACTCTAACCCCCAATCCTAAACCCTAACCCCTAGCCATGGCCTCTAACCCTAACCCTTAACCATAGTTCCTAACCCTAACTCCTAACCCTTAACCCAAACCCCAACAGTATTGTGTCCATCAGGCGGGGTTACCAAACCACATCTTACCCATTTAACATTTCGTGCCTCTCAGGGATAATTGTCAAATTACACATGCCCCTGTCAAGGAACGCCAGTTCAAGCTCTAACCGTTCTACAAAAAAAGGAAAGCGCTTCACGCTACCTCACGGCACACCTCTGTATTTCCTTCGACACGACTTGCACTTACTACTGACACAGTTTTATCCATACTCTGTTTCATTTTCAGCTCAAGTGTTGCGGCGTGACACATCCAAGGGACTACAGGAATCACATACCTCTGGCCTGCTGCAACATCACAACCAGCTCCTGCCAGACGACGCCCATTGAGGAGGAACACGTCTACTCCGAGGTGGGTCAACAAGTCTTTTTAGGCAACTGCGTGTCTTTGGCTGCGTCCCAGAATCTACCCGATCTTGGACATTGCTCGTGAATGCGATAGAGGGGGTCATGGGGTAGGGTGAGTCACGTGGTTGTGCGGGCGAGACGAGGGAACGAGCGCACACCTTTCCCGTGACCTCACAGTCAGGTTGCTGGGACGACTGTGCGCATGTTTTTGGCTTCCATAGTGTGCCAAACGCTGTCTACAGACACCTCCAGAGGCATGTTACCTCTTCGCCAAATTGGGCGAGTTTGGTTGGTTGGATTTTTTTACGAGTCTCGTGTCACTAATTGCGTCCGCATCCGGTTGCCAGGTTCAGATGTCTGGACGGGCTCTCTCGTAGCCTGCCCCCTTCTACCGGGCAGGCAACTGTACCACGAACTTTGAAGAATGAGTTTGATCTGCATGCAGGGGGTAGGCGCAGGTCTCGTATCCCATGTCCCCGTAAAGTTTGACCGTTCGTCGGTCATGCATTTTTTTAAAAAAGTTGCAGTAGTTCTCATTGTAGCGGTTGACGAGAAGTGGGATCTTTCGGAGATAGAAAATATGTGAAGTCAACGCCTGTACAATTTTCGGCGAGACAAAAATGCCTGTCAGATGACCACATTGGGGACAGGCAGCTGACAGTGGTCACACGTTAACCTAATCGATAGTATCGCATATTGAACCCGAAAAGTTCGGATATTTACTGCAAAAGGAAGACCATACTTCAATTTCAGGGTGAGTCCAATTTTCCTCGGGAAAAGTTGTAAAGAGAAAGAAGCGGCTGATTACAAATAAAACAGCACTTAACTTTGACAACTCTTAGAATCGTCCTTTTATCTAGGCCCCTTATGCGTCTCCTCCTGTAATCTGTTTATGCGAGCCAATAGGATCAGGTTTTGAGAATGCACGGCCTCCCTCTTATAGCAGGTGCGAGCTAAGGCTATTCAGGGATCCGCTAAGGTTTCGTAATTGCCATCGCGTCTGTGCGTCGTTAAACCAGCTTTCACAGTTGTGGGCGAACATAAATCTGATGGCTTCAATAACCGACACTCGGATAAATTTGCCTGTAGAGAACGCAGGGGCCAGTAAGTTGTCCTCTGAATAAAGAGGCGTAAGAACAGAAGTTTCGCTGCTCATTTAACCAGAGACGGTTGTATTTGACGGTCAAATTTTGCAAGTAGTATAAGAAAGGATATGTGTACTGTTAAAGTTATTGGAAAGGTGACGCAATTCTCCGAGCATTTTTGCTAATTCTGGCCCTTCCTCCCGCCTACAGACGTCTTTTAGGTAAGATATGAATCTGTGCACCTTCTGCAGCATTTTGACACAAGACCACCTCCAGTAGGGAATTGTGATGAAAGGAATTTTAGGCGTGGAGCCCTGACAGCCCTACCGAAAGCTCATTTGACATCCCCTTTCCTGATCAGTTACCTGGCCATTTCCCGATAATAGATCATGCAGTAGCTTCTTTAAAAGATCGCGCGCTTTCCCATTGGCTGCTTCTTTTACTCCACAGGGTTGAATTCAGATTTACTTAATACTCTTTAACAGGCGTATAGCGTGAAAAAGTTTTTTTGGCTCTCTATATACTTTCAATCATACCGTTCGTTCCTTTAAAAGGCCTAACCCGCATAACCCCCTCTATCACCATTCCCATCTCATAGGTGGTCCTTCGTTAAAGTGTTGGGAGGGGGGGGGGCTGTATACAGTCATATCCGACCATCTTTTGTCTGGTAGCCTGAAGCATCCTGATCTTGTGCTTAGCTGCTAGTTGATCGCAATCGGGATTACTCCTTTGCACTTCCTTTTGGCCAGTGTGGACTTCTTATTTGCGTCCCACTACCATCTGTCGCTCTTCGCAATTCCACTTTTGGAAGTTCATTATTTTACCCGCAGAATAAATTAAAAATGACAGGCGTTGGGTGCGCCTTTGTTTTGTTTGGAAAAAAGCCTTGGAATGTCTACCACTGCATAGTTACAACTCCGATGTGAGTTCAACCATTCGCAGTCGCAGTCCAGATCTTTCCCACCGAGGGATGCGTGATGACGGCAACAGAGGGGCAACATGCAATTTTTGTCTCCCCAACTTTTTTCCTCATAGATAATTCCTCTAAAGACGTCTCCGACTGTTACTCCCATGGGAATGCATAAGCCACCCTAGGACATTGGCAGCAAGACTTATTGATAATCTGTCGAAAAAACCATAATCAGACCTATTCAGAGGAAATGGGCTTCCACTGGAAATAATGTTGCCCCGAACAGAGGAGGTTGCATTATTCCCTTTATGGTCGCTACCTCGGCGGCCGTACGCGTGCAGAGTTTGCATGACTTCTTACTCCCCCCAAGTACGCCTGTAAATGGCCATTTAATCCATGTTGCTTGCAAAGCCTTGAGAGAGCGTCGACGAGAATGGACGGAGGGATAGGGGTTGGTTGTTGTCCGACTGCGCAAAGGTAACATTTGATTGCGTGTTTGGAGACCTAATCAGTTCACAGGAACAACTTATTTAAGCATTCTGAGGGATGGAGAGTTACTGCGCCCACGAAGAAAAATAAGGAACAATGGAGTGAGTAATATAATCATCTCCTGTTAGTAGGGAAGGATGCTGGAGACCACTAGCGTTGTCTCTTAGCAGGGACAATTAACCCTTTATCCTCCACTGTGATAACTTCCTTGCTTAATTAGACGCATTTTATGCAAGTTTATTCAGCAACTGGAATTAGAGGGTTTCTGTAACACGGCGGATCGCCTGCTTTTAATTTTTTTGAACGCACACAAGCTCGTCTAGGTCAGAAATTGTACGAACGCTAACCATTCTCTGTCTCCTAATGTCTTCCTGATGCTCTTGAAATAGCCCACGAATAGTCTTGAAAAACGGCTGGTGAACTGATGAAGGCCTGTTGGTGACCTCTTATTTTTCCATTTGTGAATACCCTCCTTACTATTTACCGTCTCTGTCTTCAAATTAGACCACTACTGAAAGAAATTGACGAAAGTTTACCTTGCAGGGGCTTTTATAAATGACCCCGGATAATGATAAGTTATTAGACATACCCTCAGCTCTTTTACTTACGCACACAGGGAGGAAACATTTTGGATCCACGGTCTACCAAATTCGGTGTAAATTATCCCGGGAAAACAGCCAATTCTATTAATGAAACTGTTACTTGTGCTTAGGAGCGACAAGCTTGTGATAGGAATACTGCAGTTTCATAATGTCATGTAAAGGGCACACAGGTCTCGGAGTAAAGTCGGTGGGTACTCCTCGTATTGCAGATTTCTTTGGACTAAATTCCGAGGGGATTTAGGATTAGGGTCGGGGGGGGGGTGGCGTAAATGGTAGGGTTGTGGTCAGGGTTAAAGTTAGAACACGGGAATAGTCCTACCTGAAGTACAGGGAGTATTTATACCCGCGTGAACCCGCAAAGTGATTAAGACCTTAGGCCTAGCCTAGACTTTTATCCAAACTTTCGAATCGAATACTGTGGCTTTGACGGAACAGCTGCGCGATGTTCGCACGTGCCTGCGTCCAGAGTGAAAAGACTATCGGTCATTTGGGACTGAGTTGACGTTAACGGAAGGGGGGAGGGGTCGCCGTATGGCCATGTCTGTGGGGAAGACAGAAAACAAAAGAGCAGTGAGCCGATAACTGGTGGAGTAACACATATGGCTACGGTTTGTCAGTAATATCTTTCAAGTACTGATCGCTCGTCGCCATGTCATTGCGACATTCACCCGAAGCGTATGAGGGAAAAAATAAAGTCTTCTTGTGACTTATCGGACAGTAATTTGACTCGAAAAGTTTGATTGGGAAACCGCAAGGAAGATTAAAAGAGGCTACTGGGGTCTTGACCGACGTCGACAAACCCTGTCCGAACTCCAGACCAGAAAGACCTGAGTGTTGAACTCGATCCCCTAAGCCATTGTACTATAGGGTCCAACACTTTGGCCACGGGCTCGGTTTCCATTAGCCGCGTCTAGGCCACCACGATTGCACGCATTGGCATTTTTCAGGTTTATGCTATGTAAGCTATGCGTGTCTCAAACAATAAGGCGCGACTTACACATGAGAAAAAATGTTTGTCGTTTCCGCCTAAAATCTGCAAGACATGGGAATATGAACCCCTGATAATAACTTTGATTGGCTAATATCCCCTATAACTGACGCCTGTTCTTTTGCTGCTTTTATCTCTGGCGATGGACTTCTGCATTAGTTTGAAAGCTCAGAAAGATAAATGGTTCCCCTGCATGATTAGTTTTCCTCCTCTCTTCTCGTACATACACCTGGAACTCGAACTTTCGCCTCTATTTGCGAAAACTTGGACATGGGCTATGCAGGCGGTTACAGATAGCAGAAATGACGTGCACAGCATCGGTCTTCATCATACTTCCTACCTCAACCTGGCACGCATGTGGGAGATCGAGCACTTCACTCCCCCCCTCCCCCCTTCTGAACATACCCGACAGGGGTGAGGGTTCCTCAACTCAAAAGTATGAATTTCAGGTTATCCAGGCCCGCGGCCAGGGGTAGCTGGTCAGAGCTGGCCATTCCAGTGTTCCTTGTCTTTTTCGGTGGTTATCACCTGGCATGATGGGCAAACTGCCGAAAGTCTGGTCTCCCTGAAATTTATCGCAGCGTCGCATGTGCTATGGGGAGGAAGTTCCTTTTCTCGTTTTCTACCCTGAAATTCACTCTTCTTTTAATGATGATAATACTACTAATAGTCATAATTGTACTTACTACCAGTTTACAGGCATTGCCAAAAAGGATACAGTACGGATAGGGCTGGCAGTGGCAGAGTAACGTTCAACTTCTCATATTTTAACAGAGTCGGCGTGGTGCCGACTTAAGCTGGATCCTGAGTAGCTTTAATCGAGAGTTTGAGAAAATCATGAGCGTGAATTCTGTAGCATCCGGACTACTTTGTCCTCTCCCCCCCCTCTTGTTGCCACTAGTGTTAATACGAACAGCGTTAATGCTCTTACCACTTCTGTTGCTCTTGCTCACACTGATAGTATTGTTGCGAGTAGTTGTATTGCTTCCACAACCACTACATAGACCCTGTCTCAGCATGTTTTGGCTGTCACAGACTGCTGGTTCCAAGCATGCGGTCACGTAGTCGGCCTTCGATACTATTTCTAGATTTAAGGGTCGGATGTGATTTTGTAGCCCCACTCGGAGTAAACAACTCCCAGCGACCTCTAATACGGGACCGGTGGTAATAGGGGTTTTTACAGGTGGGGTCGGAGAACGCGCAGGCGATGAGGTTAAGTAGCTGCATGCAAAATAAAAGCTATTGGGAGTGCGCGGTTGTACTTTCGATGGTTAAGAAGTAGTTGCGTTAACCCCTAACCCTAGCCCCCCAACCCTACCCCCTTACCCTAACCCCAACAGTATTGTATTCATCAGGTGGGGCAAGTAAGCCAAATCTTGCCAATTTGAGCTCTGAGCCACGGTTTCCATGTGTAGACTTTTCATAACATAGAAAACTCTCTAAAAACTCTTTCTACTTGTGGTTGCTGCCAGCAGATCGAGCATAAAGTACCGTTTTATTCCTGCGCTAGAGTGTAGTCTTTTCTGCCTGGCCTTAACTTCCATCGAGGGCTGCGTAATCCCATTTACAGCTCCCGCCGACGCATCAACCACAACTGCTGCAAGTTCAGTGTTATTTGATATCGCGCGCGTCGGACGGATTTTGGGTAGCTTCTCAATTTACGAGCAGTCAGGCCTGCGCTACAGCCCCACTCAATAAATCCCAGCACTCATTTTACTCCGCGCTAGACCGTGTTTACGCAGCCAGGCCGCACCCGTGGTGGGAGCTTTAACTTCCCCAGTCTGTCTGACCGATGCAGTTATCCAACCGCAGCCCCTAGATTCCGCATTTTGCCCAAGTGTGGTCTTTGCCTCCCGCCCGCCCTCCCTGACTGGCTGTCGTGCCAATGGGTGGCAGTTCTGTAAAAAAACCACATTCCCCACTCGTAGGTCAGAAAAAATGATCGCCGAGCTTGCGGCAATCTTCACCTAGTAGTTGAACTGAAGCCGGACCTGGCCTGAATTTCCGCGAACACTCAGCAGAGGCATTCCTAGCCTCTAGAGGCTTCCGTCAGGTAGTGTTTAGACGTCACTGTTTTATGCTTCTTCCGCCTGGGGGAAGATAAAATTTTGCTCCATCGCGCATATAATCACCGACTGAGGGGCTGCCATAAGTATTTATTAACAACCCATCCAGACCGCTGATTCAGGCGATGGCAAAGTCGTTCCTACGCCTATGTGAGCAGCCTGAACCCTGCCAGGGCTTCAGCCCCCAAACTCAAATAGTGGAAATGTAACTGAATGGCAGAACTGAACAGCGCAGTTGAAAATGACACTGTCTAGAACAGTTAAGCGCGATATGGGAACGCAGCATGTAATACTGATCAGACATCTGGATGGGATCGGCGGGAAGGCTGTGAAAGGGTTTAATCAGCGCGTGCGCGCTACTTGTGCAGAGGTTAACGTCGTGAGCTCCGACTGGCTCTACGTTACCGCGGCCCTTGAGTAACCTAGGAGATGAGCAATCATTGCGCGAAACAGACCTTGAGTGCCAGCCTTGGATTCAGTGTGAGACCAGTATCCAGCAGGTGTTTTGCGATTGCACTTGTCCGTACCTTCTTTTCAACTCCCATCAACTACTGTGTCACCTGTCTGGCCCACCGAGCTGCCAACTGTTTTTGTGTACGCCCTAAGTATTTGCATCCTCATCTACAGGGAAACTCATGAAAACAGTTAGAGTTGACAAACATACGCAACGCTGGTCTGCTCGGAGTGGGTCCCTTGGGGGGATATAAGAATGACGACGGCGTATGCCAGAAAATGCAATTTTCCGCCTTGTTCATGTGCACGCACAGCTTCACACAATACGGGGGTAAGCCTTTGTCCAACCTCACGTCCTTCTACTGAATGCTTACGTTTGCTAGGTGCAGTAGAATTTCAACACTGCCATAGTTGGACAGCAAAATGCACAAAACTGAACCGCATCCGGCGGCTGAGTCACCGTCCTGCGAGCGCTCGACTAACAACTTCACTGTTCCGCCCCTCCTCCTTCTTCGTGTGGAAGACTTTTGCCGCGATTGGCCGCACAAATACACACCATGCCCTTTCCTGAGGTAGAATAGGTCATTTTTGGAGTTCTGTGATGTTGGGTATACAGTGCTGCCGCCGTCACATCCTCTCGACCATAAATTTGTAAGTGCGCAGGCTACAAAACCCCCGTGACTCACCACATATACAAATCGAGCTGCGCAGAAGTGACTAAACCACATCTGTATGTCTTCTGACCGGTCCTTATTTTTATGATGGAGTCGAGGAGCTGAGATTTTCTTTGTGCATCTTCCCTGTTTTTTTAAACTTCCTTTTTTTCTCCATTTACTTCAGGGCTGTATACGAAAGTACAAGCTAGTGGCTGAAGATTTTCTGCACATTTTCTTCCTCGTCATTGTGGGCATCACCGTCTTCGAGGTAATTTCCTCTCGTCAATGCATGCTACCGCTCGTTTCTCCCCGTCCCCCTCCCTGAAACATTTGCATAACTGCCTGCAGTTGGTGTGGTCGCTATCCACCCTACTCTCCGTCTTGGAGTCTGTATGGGTATTCGCCTGAAACACGCCTTAGATGGAGATTTCACATATCATCGGCTGCTGCGTCTGAACTCATTCCCAGGCACCCTGGTCCGACCGAGCCAGTGGTGTATGGGAGAGGGAAGGGAAAGTGAGGTCGATCTAACCGCAGCTCAGGGTTTGGTTCTTCACTCCGAACAAGCTAATGCTCCATGAAACCATCGCGACGCCATGGACGGTTGCCAACCGGTGGGGCCAACTCGGTTCTACGGTAGGTGGGCTAACTCATGAAATGTCGACCGAAATTTCGAAATGCCAGTTCGTTTCGAAAATATTAATTAAGTAGGGTTGTAAAACTAGTCAGCCTGCAACATAATTCTATAATATCCCTCCTTCGAGTATAAAACTAGAAGAAGGCGTAATTATCTACCGAATGAGCAAAAAATGGATATTTTTATTCATGTTTCCATTAAATATAATTGGACTTTTAAGGGCATCGAAGATCAATGGGAAAAATTCATGCTACTCAAGTAGTCATTTTTTACAAACTGGAGTTTTTTGTATGCAGCCGGAAGGAAGTTCATTCGAAAGCCAGCATCTTGAGATAACTGAAATATTATAGAATTATGCTGCATGATGATTAGTTTTATAATCCTACTGAATTAATCTTTTCGAAACGAAAACGCATTTCGGAATTTTGGTTGACACTTCATGAGTTAGCCCACCTACTGTACTTGGCACCGGGGGGACAGGCCGCAGTGGCCTAGATGACACTCAATGGCGTACGATCCAGGACCCTTCGAATGAAGTCTGTTGTGTGTGGAATTAGGGTTGAGGTCATGTGTGACACTGCGTCCTTACCCGTCTCCCAGTCGTCTGTGTGAAAAGAGGTATGTGCAGCCCAGGTCCGCTTCACTATAAACCACTTCACGAGCAAGTCGCAGCTGCCTTCATCTCGTGGGACGGTTGTGGACCCAGTGCCCCCTGATGGGTCAGCAAACTCCAATGATGAATGACCGCGTAGATCGTTCTTATATTCAACCCCAAAATCGGACTATTCCAGTGGTCTCCTTTTCTGCTTCTTCGTCACAAATACCTTTGTGCTGGACACAACCGTCTGTGGACCACCTCTGGAAAGCCGCCAATCGGGTATTTGTCCACTGCACCTCGCCCCACTCGAGGAACCCCTGGCGCCCGACCGGACTCCATGCACCAAATTGTTCGTGTATATCAAAACCGACAAGGATGATGCTTATTTGGGTAAAATCACCCCATGCAGCTCCTTAGAGCGTAGTTTGCATTTTTTTCACTTCACTGTATCTTGACAAGGAGGTTTGAGATCAGGGTAATGTCCGTCTTGTTCTGAACAAAGAGGATAATTACTCATTGATGTGGCATTCCACATGGTCCTCTCGTCTGTACTGATACGATTTTCTACACAAGACTTTGCAGTAAGTTTTGAGATAAAATTGCAATGAAGACTAGAATTACGTGTTTTTTGAGGAGAATGCACATTGCAGTTATGAATACGCCTTCTTATGAAGGAAAAAATTAAGATTAACTTTGGGATTCCGCCTTTAAACCGAGATCAAAGCTCAGGGTTTGGACCTCTTTGGGGCTTTTACAAGATGATTCTACTCCTCTTATATTGACTGAACCCCGGGTTTCAGTTAAATCTTCAACGTTTTGGCATCTCTCCTAAGGCCGCTGAAGGTCGCAGTTGTTGCAGTTACTACGATAACGGCTTTTGGGCAGTCATTTCTCCAGAGTACTAAATCTATGACTGGTTATGGTCTGGAATGGCCATTTCTGGCTTATTAGCCGTCGTCAGCCAGCCCTACCCGACCCCGAAGTGTGGATCACTCGAGGCTCGAACCCGCGACCTGTTATTTAGAAGTCAACGCCTCTAACCACTGGGCCACGAACCCGTTGCCTTGTCGGTGTCGATCGGGAATATACAATAGTAGGGGGCGCTCACCGATCGTCCATACGGAACTCACTCGTTGGTTGGGCTCGAGAGAGAGAGAGCCCGTAAGGCACAACGGAACGAGTGAGTTCCGTAAGGACGATCGGTGAGCGCCCCCTACCATTGGTTATGGTCTTCTAACATTCCCCTTAAGGTCAGAGTCCGGCACTTCTATTGGGCAGATGGGCTAGATCACATTTTTGGCCATTAACCCCCCCCCCCGCCTTTCGCATGCCCAATTGTTACTCTTCTCAGGTAATGGCGAAGCAAAAAGCTTCATTCAGCAGCTTTTTACTCTCCTGATGTTTGTTTATTTATTGTCATAGGCAGTTGGTTGTTTGAGATAATAAACATGTCAACTTTATTGCGGGAGTAGAGACCGACTACCACCCTGGCCCGCGGTTGTCGGAGCTTCTGTTGCTGCTGCTGCTGCTGCTGCCCTAGCAGTCTGTTGCAGAAAGGACTACTGACCCAAATATGATTAAATTCAAATCTCCCACCGGCTGTACTCAAGCCTTGCCCTAGCTGTCATGGGTTCGAATCCCAACGAAGTCGCCAAGTTGGGTTAAAAGGAATGACACATTGATATCCTCCGGGTGCATTGCTTACGAAATTCGCTTGAATGCGTGCCTTAAGTGCGAGCCCGAAGTAGCGCAGGGGGATTATGATGGCAGCTCTGCTCCGTCTCATCTGATGAGGCGATTTTCCATCCCTCTGCTTTTGCAAATGACTTCTGCTCAGTCAACTTTTTCGGCTTAAGCAGAAAACTCCTCGTATCTGTGCGTTATTGTCGAAACTTTGCTATAGCTTCTGAACGCAGTTTCACCGACAGCATGACATCATCGCAAGACGGCACTGCTCGCGTTTCCAGTCCACAAGTTAACTGTTACGCGCAGAGTAAACACAGGGGTAGGTTTCTAAATGTGTGGACTACTTTGTTAGCGCCCATGATGCTTAACTCATCCTACAATGCGTCGACGGAAGTTTTAGTTACATCTTTTAAACGATTGGCCTTTTGCAGGAAAAAACAGCTGAATTTTGCAAATTTAAGTTTAAAATGATAACAGACCATTGTATACGCATTGGGTACATTTTCAAAAGGCATTGGTCATATCCCCATCCCAAGAGGAGGGAAAGTACGTACAGGGGCTGATCGCATCAGACCTTTCGGAACTAGGATTCAGACTGGTGGTGAACTTTTGCACCGGCTTATATTGCATGGACAACACGCATTCAGGGCATAAATGATAAGGTACTTTGAGCAACCACTCATACATCATCCGGAGGCTTCAACAGCCCTCATCATCAGGGATTGTTGTTTGACAGGAAGTGGACTCTGATTACGAATGTTATCCAGATGGACGTTGCCGCTCTTGGGCTGGAAAACGCCTAATTATACAGCACCACTGGTCTTGGCCAGCCCCTTTCAGCGTGAGCGGACCATGGCGTCAGGGCAGTCTAGAACCTGACAAGACCGCAGTGGCTTGAGTCACCTTAGCAGAAGGGCGAGGGAAGGTTTCTGCAGTTCTCTGTGCGAGAGTGGACATCTCCATTCACTCGTACAGCACACCAGGATTGTGTCCCGGACAGCGGTTGAAGCCCTTTTCGGGTGGCTGACAACATTATCCACTTTGTAGTACGTACCACAGTTTGTGACCTTTTTATAAGCGACCGATTAGCCGGATCAGTACTGAGTCACGCCCAAGGACTAACCACTCACCCCTCCGCACACATACATCAAAAGTTATGGCGTCTGGCCTTCACCGAAAGCCGTTGCAGCAGCCGTCGTCTGTCCGCACGCCAGACGGATCTCGTCTTTCCCGAGCATCGGAGGTAGTACTATATTTATACCGCAGCTCGCACCTCGCCATGAACGAAGGCGGCAACACTAATGGCAGCAAGTGCAAGCGCGGCCTTTATTACGTTGCTTAGACCCATGGTTGCCCACATCACCCCCCCGCCCCCCCCCCTCCCAGTCTCGCCGACCCGAAACCGTCATCAGACTGATCGTCATTAGCGGAGGGGCAGCCGTCACTGCGATCATGCCCTGCTTTCGCTTAGGAGCCGTGACAACTGACCTCGGGGTAGGCAATTTGCCGGTGCGGCGGCAATTCACACCCCAACGACGAGGCTGTGATGGAAACTGTGATGCAGTCGCCAGAGAGGCATTCATTGCGTGTCCTGGTTGCAGGACAAATACGGAAATTCTGCCTGTTTCCCCCTGTAGCCGACGCCTGCAGCTCGCAGAAGAGTTCGCTTGGCAATCAGTAGCCGAGATCTATTTTTTCAAAGGCGAAGAGGAATGGGGATACCGTTTTTGACCTATTTGGCGTTGTTGTACAGCCATATAGCACAGGTTGGTGAAGGTCGCTCCCTCGTGACCTTGAATATTTCCGCTTGTGACCGTTAGGACGTGGGCTCATAGCTAACTAGTGGGACGTTTGCCTCAGTGTTCTATGGACAAGGAGATAGAGTTCGAGCCCAGGATCTTTCCAGTCTGAGGTTAGAATATGGCTGAATGATGAAGGCGAATAGGCTTAAAATCGCCATTCCGGACTTACCTAAAGACTTTTGAAAACGTGTACGCCTTCGAAAAGAATGCCTTCCAGGTTGCTTGTTCTCTGAAATTGGAGCTGCCTCCATCGTTGCTGCTCAATGTTTATATAGTGGAGGACTCTTTACGTTTCGCGAGTTACGAGCACAAATATGGCACTGGTCGTGTTAGTGTAAACTAGCCATTCTCCTGCAGGTAGTTTGATCGTAAAATGTCGGACTTTTTACTAGTACGAAAACCGTTAGTTACAATAGCTGCCCTTTAGTTAGGAGGCGTACGAATAAGTTTTTACCCACGGAAAGGGTTTTGAATTTGAGTGTTCTGACTTATTTTACATCGATCTCTTCTTTTTCACAGTCCACATTCGAGTTAGATTAAAAAGTACTCAGTTTCAATTGCTAATGTGTTTAAAATTGATTAACAGAAAAATCCAACGGTGAGTAAGTAAGACATTGTTTTCTGTCGTCCTTTTCACGACTTCAGAGGAAGTAAGATATTTCTGGATGAGTGGCAAGAAAGACCCTAATACCCTAGATGACACTTTTGCCTCAGCAAACCTTTGGTTTGCTTGCCATCCCTATCTTTTTAGATTTCTCTATGTATCGACAGGCCCCTAGACATACTCTTCAATGTTTCATTAGGACCCTAAGAGGACAGAAGTTATTGTCATCAGATAGAAAAAAACGGCTAGAGGCTTCGTTTTCGTGGACTGGAGTCGCAAGTAGTTAACAGATTTTATTCCTTCGTCGCCAATGGAGGCGAATAGTTAAGTTGCTGGTGAGCATGGAAGAAGACTGACCAAACATCGGAACGTTTTGTTTATTTTTCTGAACTTTAAAATCCCGCAAGAGTCCATCGTTAGAGATGATGGCAGCAGCAGCAGCAGCAGCAGCAGCAGCAGCAGCAGCAGCAGCAGCAGCAGCAGCAGCAGCAGCAGCAGCAGCAGCAGCAGCAGCAGCAGCAGCAGCAGCAGCAGCAGCAGCAGCAGCAGCAGCAGCAGCAGCAGCAGCAGCAGCAGCAGCAGCAGCAGCGGCAGCAGCAGCAGCAGCAGCAGCAGCAGCAGCAGCGGCAGCAGCAGCAGCAGCAGAACAAACGACGGTTATAGGTAGTATTAACCGATCAACGATTAATGTCTTAAGTCTGGAAGTGACTACGCAGGACTCTGTACGCCGGCGCCAGATCGATAAATCTATTGACCGAGTTCTCATCCGAAGCCCAGGCTTCAATCAATTCTCGGCCTGCTTTGTTTCCGGCGTGGGCGACTATTTTGGTGGCTGCGAAGTTAAACTCGTGACCCATTTCGTAGGTGTAGGCAGCCACTTGCGATAATTCGTCGTCCCCTCGCACGGCCAGCTGATGCTCGTGTGTTCGCGCGATCCGAGCATGCGTCCAGTCTGACCTGTGTAGTTACAAGGACAGTTTGGCCACGAGATACGATTCACAGTCCCAGACTGCTCCTTATAATCTATGCTTGATTTTGGCGAACTTGCCGAGCCCGGTAGCTTCAGGCCTGCGTGCGATCACAACACCAAGTCCCACAGCAATGCGCTCGGTAGCCTGTGAAACGACCTTAGTGTATGACAGAGCATATCACACAAGCTCAGATAAATAAACACACTGTTCCGGTGCTCGACTAGTCTTATTCTTTTAACTTGCCTATTTCTTTGTAAACGACGCTGGCGAAGTGTGTCTAGGTGTTCCTGAGGGCCGTTTTATTTCTCCAGGCCGTCGACTTTTTCGAGGAGTAAAACCGTGATTGACATGTTACTGTCATGATCTGCCAGTACTTTTCTTGCCCTTTGCGTTAAAACATGCTACTGGTTATTTTTTGCCATTTGCCTCACCGGAAGAATTTGACCCTGGATAGTTAGAGATCCATTCAGCGTGACTCTGTAGATTTACGTGCACTCTTGGTAGTGGAAAACCGCTAAAGCCAGTAAATGTTCAGAAAGAAGTGGTCGTCGAATAATCCACGTACAGATGCCCCTACGGTGGGCCAGTTGCGCCGCAGCTCACGCCGTACCCCGAGATTGGCGCTCCTATCCCCTCTCACAACGTTTGATGTCAGGCTGTACACGTCTCCGTTTTCCCTAATCTGCCTTTGTAGGCAAGTTTTTCTCGAGTCATGTATGCATTTTTAAAGCGTTCTTGTGATTTTTGGACTACTTTCCTGTGCTCACTCGCCAGCTTGACGTTCAGAACGCACGCATAACAGTGGCCTTCGTCCGTGAACTCTGATAGCAGGACGTAAATTGATAGCTTCCGTTTGCCTTTGCGTTCGAAGTCTAGAGCTCGTCAAGATTGTTGACAATTGACAAGTACAGTAGGTGGGCTAACTCATAAAATCTCCACCGAAATTCCGAAATGCGTTTTCGTTTCGAAAAGATTAATTAAGTAGAGTTGTAAAACTAACCATCGCACAGCATAATTCTATCAGCATTCTGTTATCTCAGGCTGCTGGCTTTCGAATGAACTTATTTCCGACTGTATGCAAGAACTATACCCTGCAAAAAATGACTGCTTAAATAGCATGCATTTTTCTCATTGATTTTTGATGCCCCTTAAAGTCAAATTATATTTCCTGGAAAATGCATAAAAATATTCATTCTTTCGCTCGTTGAGTGGAAATGTACGTCTTCTTCCAATTTTATACTCGAAGGAAGGGTTATATTCGGTTTTCAAAAACTTCTGCAATTCCCGAATAATTTTGAACCCACTCTGCCGTCACACGTGCATTCGGGGTTTTCAAACTACAAGCCATGTATTCTCCGCGTACGGAAAACCACACATTTCTCTACGGTGTTGACGGGAGACCATATGGGGTTCATACAATTTAGCATTTGATTTGATCCATATTGTTAATTTTACAAGCCACATTGGTGAATTCAGAGACATGACGTTTTATGAACGGCCATTTCACCGTATTTAAAAGTCTCACAATTAGAAACTTTTTAAAACCGAATAATATCCCTCCTTCGAGTAGAAAATTGAAAGAAGACGTGATTTTCTGCTGATTGAATAAAAGAATGAATATTTTTATTTATTCCATAGGTATTTTGGCAGATTTTGAATAATTCATATTGACCCAACTGTGAAAAACTCGGCGCGTCGGTGGGATTCGAACCCACTTAGTAAGGAGAAGGCTTTAGTACAGCCAACGCTCTAACCACTTGAGGTACGAGGCCCCGCCGGACGACTCGAGTTTAATCACATTTGGGTCAAGTTTACCCGTCCAACCTACTGCAATGTCTGGAACCCACCAAATCTGATACAGTAAGTTGAATGTCCAAGCAGGATTTCCTATGTAATTCACCTAGAATCCACTAGATGACTACCAGGCTCACGTACTTCATAGGTGAATTACTTAGGAAATCCTGCTTGGGCAGTCAACTTACTGTATCAGATTTGATGGATTCCAGACGTTGCAGTAGGTTGGGCGGGTAAACTTGACCCAAATGTGATTAAACTCGAGTCGTCCGGCGGGGCCTCGTACCTCAAGTGGTTAGAGCGTTGGCTGTACTAAAGCCTTCTCCTTACTAAGTGGGTTCGAATCCCACCGAGGCGCCGAGTTTTTCACAGTTGGGTCAATATGAATTTTTATGTATGTTCTCCATGAAATATACTTGGACTTTTAGGGACATCGAAAATCAAAGGCAAAAATGCATGCCACTCAAGTAGTCACTTTTTACAGAGTATAGTTTTTGCATGCAGCCGGAAGGAAGTTCGTTCGAAAGCCGGCGTCCTGGAGTAACTGAATTATTATAGAATTATACTGCGGGCTGATTAGTTTTACAACCCAACTTAATTAATCTTTTCGAAACGAAAGGCGTTTTGGAATTTCAGCTGACATTTCATGAGTTAGCCCACCTACAGTACACCTGCTTGTCTGGTCGATCTGTTGCGACCACTTCCATTCCGTCTTCTCGAACTAATTGGTGGTTTCTCTTCCTAACTCCCATTGCTAGCCTATTGCTGAATGAGTGGTCTCTGTAATCTTGCCGTTGGGAATTACGGACACCGAAAAGGGCCTCGGGTGTTCTAGTGAGTGGACTTGGGGTATCGCTGGCTACCGACGGCTTACCGACCACAAATGGCACTTCAATACTCCGTACTCATACACAAACGCTCACGCGGATGAAATATTTTTCCCCAACGCCTCCCACATCCGTAAACCGCTCCGGCTCTGAGCTTACGTAAATGGTGGCTTTCAGAATATCGATTTAGGTTGGAGGGCTGCGGACAGACTGTCTGCGATGGTCCCACCCAAATAAAAACCCAGGAAAAGAGGGACAGAGAGAGAGGTGGCTGTTTTTAACTACAATGCTCGGCGGCGTTTACAGGCTGTCATGCGCAGGACTGCGAGTTACGCGCAACTAGACTGAAATCGCCTGCAAAAGTCAGGTGGGCAAACGATTCACGGGCAGACCTCGACATTGGTTAGCCACGAGCCAATCAGCTGGCCAAGCTGGCTATTGCACGACTGCACTGACTACTTACGGCACAGCCTCCTTGACGAGGTCAAATGAGTCAGAGCTTCCTCGAGGCGTTTTGATCGCATCTCTCGTTTTAAATTAGGCAGCCTGCACAAATCAGCCAGGCCTACTAGGACTGAGCTTCGGGTGTGTGACTGGCTGACCAGAAATGACCATTTCAGCCTCCCTCATCCTTGTAAGAAAAGTTTTGCTGTTACTAACTGCAGTAACACGGCCGCTTGCGAAAACTATTGGTCGGAACTACAGAGCAAAACGAATCGCCCCTGCCTTACCCTGCAACCAGGTCAAGTTGGTGACTGTCGCCCCCCCCCCTGTAGCTTTGAATGTTTTCCATTGCATTTGACGGGGACTGAGTCAGATTAACCAGACCCAGGCCAAATGCGCAGGTCGTTCAAGCCTGCAGTTGTGGTATGACTGGCTAGCAACTGTATCTCACTCCCCCCACTATACAAATGGTCAAACTAAACACGAGATTCTGCGTTCTACTATGACTCGAATGCCCATTCTCACTCAGGCCTCACTCAAAACGTCGACCTTTCTCAACCAGTGAAAACTGCATTCGTTAGGCTTTACACGGTGTACACGCGAATAGAAGGCAAACCATGCGAAGCTTGTTTGAATGCATTTCTGAATTAAACCGCCTGCGTTTGTACTCTTCTCAATAGACTTCAGTATTACCAAGAGGCTTTTTACGAATTGAAAAGGGTTTCGAGTAATTGGATTAGGATGATCACTCTCCACCTCGTGTGGGCAGGCTTCGGCTGAACTGCCCAGAACGGTTGTGACTGCAATTTCGTGAGACCACCGTATCCACCGTAGGGATGTAACGGGGTACGAGAAACCAAGCCTACGTGAACGGAAAACGACGCCAGCCCAGTTAACACCTACTAATCAGGGGGGGAGAGATATTCGAATGTGTGTTTGAATTGAGTTCATCGGTCATGTTACGTGACATACCCCGTTGTCTTGAGGCTCATTATAGAGCCCCGAAGGCAGTCATGAAAGGGGTGTCAATAATAACAAAGGACACTTGTATGGCCATTTTTGGACTATTAGGGATCATCAGTCCGCTATACTCAATCTCGGGTTTTTGGAGCATCTGGAATTCGAACTGGGGATCTTTGGTCATTGAGTGTGACGCTCTCCCATTGAACCGCAGGCCTGTTGTCCTCTTGGTTGCAATCGGGAATATTAACTCTGTTGGAATTACGTTCATCCACCGAGTTACGGGACATGCTAGTAGGAATATACTAAAGGTCGCTATGTTACTGTTTTCGCGGGCTTTAGATTGGACCTCAAGGCATAGTGGGACGAGCATATCCCGTAACCCGATCGTTGAACGCAATTTCAACATAGTTGACGTTCCCTATCATAACTGACAGAAAAACGGGCCCATGGCTCAATGGTAGAGCGTTCGATTCGGTGTCCAAAGGCCCCACTCAGAATCTCAGATGCTCCAAAAGCTCGAGGCTGGGTATGGCTGACTGGTGACGGCTAATGAGCCAAAAACGGCTATTCCAGTCTCGACTGTCTTTGTCGATATTTTTTTAATGGAATACGTGTCTGTGGGATTTACGAGGTGATTAGGCAGTAACAGTGCGCCCAGTAGCATAGCGCCTGTCGATTCTTTCGCACGCAATTGTATATTCTGAACTGGCCTCGCTTAGCTTCCAACTCCTATCTTTGACTACAAATAGTCGCATTCGCAACAGCCACACGCACGTAGTCAATTTGACTGACAGACAGAAAAAGCCCCTCACCGATACCGATTACTATTACCTGTCTTTCAAACAGGCATGTTCGAGCGTGTGGAGTTCGGCTCAGCGGATTAAGCAGATGCAGTCAACTGCGGTCAATCAGACGAGTGCTAAGGCGAATTAGCGAACTCATGAGATGTTTGATTAGCCACAACGCCAAATAGGATTTTTCGATGCCTTGACGCGGTTTTGCACTCGAAGCCGGATGTGGATTAGGGGGGAGGAGGGACAGGAGTAGGATGAGACCACTGCGCAGTTCCGCGTACAAGTTGCTTTAATCGTCGCGGTTGATCGCCGTTCCAGTTGTTGGATAAACTACCGGGTGTTTGTGTGCTTTCGTCGTTACCCTCTCCGCCTCTCTCTCTCTCTCTCCCAAGTGGACTGCGACGTTAGGCCTGGGCAAAGCAGAGGCCACATCGCCGGGCTACGCTCAGTCTGCGTGAGACCTGAACTACTGCGAAACATGCGTATGGCACGCTATGTGAGCTTTCCACTGCACCCATGCCATCACCAGTCTGCTGGAAGGCTCGAAAAAGCGGTAAGAGTGCGTGAGAAAGGCCCCGTAAAATCCTTCCTCACGGCAAATCGACGTTTTCATTACTATCATAAATCTAACGTGCCTGGATCTCTCACGGCGGCTCAAAGGCATGGCCTGAGGGATCGCCAGTTGACGTGGTAATTCGGTTTTCCTTCAGTAAAGAGGGTCAAACTACAGTGGCCTTCAGGACACTTCTCGCACCTATGATATTCAATCTCGTCCGTGACACGCGTTAACTGACAACTTTGCCCCGCGTCCAATTTCGTTTTCGATCCACCTGACTCAAACAACCGACTGTGTGTGTGTGTGTGGGAGAGGAAAGAAGAAGAGAGACCGGTTCCGTTCAAATTCGGCGCTCAGCTCCCACTCTAAACAATTGAACGCACCTGGAAGGCTGCCATCGTCGGTTTCGACGATGTCCGCCATGTGCTCCACAGCAGGGCATGAGCAGGGATTTGTGCGTGAATTAGTTTATGGTGATTGTAGACTTCCACTTCGTCTACCGCAGTCTCTCCTCCTCTCCCACCTGGATCCGGTGTCAATACATAGCCGAAAAGACCGAAGGCGGGAGAAGCCGCAAGTGGCCGCACGGCGAAATCTTCACCAAGACGTACCACTACGTCCCCTGATCCACAGCAAACACATAATCAAGATTTTCAACAATAATAACAGTGCGGGCCGGGGCGACAGTGGTCCCAGTTGGCTTGGCATGAGTCGGCAACTGGGCCTGCCACCGCACCCCGACTGTTGCCACTTGTTATGAGTGTGCGTTCCCGATAACGCCTGCCAGAATCCTATCTAGCCTCCGTGTTGGTTCAGTGGCGTTTTCCGTTTTAGGGGCAGTCCTTCACAATAGAACCTATATGACACCCACATGCGAAGTCTATATGACATCCAGAATGATGTCTGGTAAGTGTGGAACTAGGGATACGATCGTATGTGGCATACGTGGATGTGACCCGCCCTGTCAACTGCAGCGTCCTCTTCCATTTTCAATTGCGTGTGTCTCATGGCGGGTGTGGAAAAGAGAGGGTGAGGTTGGCGCAGCAAAAGTCTGGCCCATAATAAATTACTACAGGAGCACATCACGACCACACCCACTTCTCGGGACAGTGGTGGTCCTCGTCGCTTGCGACTCTTGAACAGTCATGCTAGTACATGACAAACGGGTGCTTTTGTGATGAAATTAAGTTTTTGGGAACACTGAAGCCGCCGTGATCAACCATTCCTAGTCTACGACAGGGCAAATGGCATCCAGATGTCCGAGGTAGTCCTCCGACCATTTAAAAAAAACAAAGGCTTCGTCAACCAGGAAGTCCTCTTTAAGACACCGCAAGGGAACCAGAGAATGAGTACAACCATAACAAGTTCGCCGCGAGACGAACTGGAACTGACGATCCCGTTTGTTCCCACCGGCTGCTATACCCATGTGCTGTCAGATCCATGTCTGCCGATTGTGTCTCATTAATCGACATTCCATCCGGCCCGGCTCGCAATTCGGTCATACTTTTTGTCTTGGCGACTGTCCTACCAGACGTACAAGGCAGATCTCACGCATTTGCGGTGCATGAAACGACCGGCACAGTACGAAGAAAGTTCGCGCAGAGCATTTGCACTGTTGGACGGCCGGGCTGCGACCGCTCATAGGTAGCGACTGAGTGCACAATCAGGGGTCGTCGTGCGGACTTCAATCCACAGCAGCTTTTTCGCATTTTATCGACCATCAGTGGGTCTTCGCGTCTGACGGTGCATGCTTACTAGCTACGTTTCTTGATGTCACCTGGCAGGACTTCTGGAACACATCAACTGTCCGTTGCAATTGTGCGGCCTACCAGTTAGAATAGTTTGATTAAGCTTTCATTTGGCTACAACCACGCGCCCATCCCTTTTCTTGACGTGTATGCCTCGTGCCAACACTTTTCACTTCTCAGCCGTCTTGACCACGTAATTGGGAAGGTGTTGCAGCATGGGATGTCCGCCACTATCCCCTTAGGCAGCAACATATGGGGAAGTAATAAATTCCTTACATATAAGCGCTATGATCCAAGACGAGGGAGGAATTGGCATTTCTTGAGCTTGCTCAAATAAGCAGTCAACTTGCGGGTTGCATTTCCTTCGAGGGCCCTGTCACCAGATGGCGTCGCTTATCCGTACGAATGACGAAATACAGTAGGTGGGCTAACTCATAAAATGTCAACCGAAATTTCTAAATGCGTTTTCGTTTCGAAGAGATTACTTATGTATGGTTGTAAAACTAATCACCATCCAGCATATTTCTATAATGATCCAGTTACCTAAGGGTGTCTTCTTTCGAACGAAGTTATTTTCGACTGCATGCAAGAACTATACTATGCAAAAATGATTGCTTAAGCAGCATGCAATTTTCTCATTGATTTTCAATGCCCTAAGAGTTTAACAAAATTTAATGAAAAAAATGCATAGAAATATTCATTCTTCTACTTATTCGGTAGAAAATGACGTCTTTCAATTTTATACTCGAAGGAGGAGCATAATTCGGTTTCAAAAAGGTATCTAATTGTGAGATTTTTTAATGCCATGAAATGGCCGTTCATAAAACGTCATGTATCTGCACTTACCAATGTGGCTTGTAAAGTCAACAATATTGCTCAAATCCACTGCCAAATGTTATGAACCTCATATGGTCTCCTCTTAATACTGTAGAGGAATGTATGGTTTTCCGTAAACGGAAAATATACGGCTTGTAGTTTGGAAACCCTAAATGCAAGTATAACAGCAGGCCGGGTTCAAAATTATTCGGGAATTAGAAACATTTTTAAAACCGAATTATACACTTCCCTCGCGTATAAAACTGGAAAAAGACGTGATTTTCTACCGAATAATTAAAAGAATGAATATGTTTATGCATATTTACCATGAAATATAATTGGACTTTTAGGGGCATCAAAAATCAATCAGAAAAATGCATGCTACTTAAGTAGTCACTTGTCGCAAAGTATATTTCTTGCATGCAGTCGGCAATAAGTTAATTCGAAAGCCGGCACCCTGTGGAAACTGGATCATTATAGAGTTATGCTGCATGATGATTGTTTTTACAATCCTAATTAATTAATCTTTTCGAAACGAGAACGCATTTCGAACTTTCAGTCGACATTTCATGAGCTAGCCCATCTACTGTATTAAAATGCGACCTCATCTGGCCAGGCAATCATTGACCGGCGTCAGAGCACAGGGCTGTTCTCTGTGAACGAAGAAGGAAAGAATGGCGACTCAATCATCAAGTCCGCTTGACTTTGACTTCAGCCACGCATATGGTCTCCCTTAGTCTGCCTGAGCAGCGTAGACCCACGTTGTCTAGCTCTTTTCTTAGTCTGACTGCTACTGACTGCGCATTCTAGTAGTAAAAGCTTCTTTGCGTGACTATCAGCCACAGCACATCCACCATTTGCTACATATTTCGGTCAGATGTGGTTATGTAGCCCCACCTCAAGTAAGAAAACCCCGACCACCTGTAATACGGGGCTGATGGTAATAGGGGTTTTTAACAGGTGGGACCGAGGAACGCACAAGCGACGAGGTCAGGTCGTTGTATGCAAAATAAAAGCTATTGGGAATGCGCAGTTGTACTTTGAGTGGTTGAGAAATAGTTGCCCTAACCTTAATCCGAACCTCTAACCTTGACGCCAACCCCAACAGTGTTGCGTTCATCGGGTGGGATTACATGACCACATCTTACCCAAATTTCTTTTTGGGGTGGTTGGGACGGATTATCCTAATAATTATTAGGAGTTTATGGGGTTTGTTTAGAAAACGGATTTTTATCAAGTGAATAACCTGCTCAAGATAAGATGAAAACGAACCCGGAAACGACTTGTTATATTTGTTGCCGCTTTGTCGTCAGACTTAGCAGGTTACCCCCGAAGTGTTCAAGTAGGTCAGGGCATAGCGTCCCCACAGCTCCATAAACTTGGACAATGTATCTCATTCATTTGTTTATTCTCCGAGTCATCCTTACAAGTAACAGGCTCTTTTGAGTGAGATCCGTCGTACAGGTCGAATTTGTCTTTTTATGAACTATCTTTTTACCTCGACCAATTTAGTGTGTGGCCTGACTCCCAAACACCGCGCTGTTTTGCGGTCCCAACTACCCAACGGCTTTGTTCTAGCAGCTCATAGGCGACTCAGTACTTTGAAAAGACTCCAACAATGCACCTCACCAATGCAGACTCGACAAGGTGGCATCTCTGCTTGTTGTGATGGCCATAAACCATAGAGAGCGACCGGCCACTGCGACCCCCCAATCGAGGGAACCTAATTGAGCAACTAGTTTTTGTGGCAATCACATATGTCTTGGGCGCGGTTTCCCTAACATATTGGTCGTCCACGGCCTGTCGCACTGTTCACGGCAACTGCAATGTAATGTTCACAAAGTGTCAAAGTCGCCCTGATGGTCCACGGTCAGAAACTGCTATCGTGTGTCTAGTTGGACTTGCACCGTAAAAACGTGCCTTCAGTTCCCACCTTGTGCAACTTGAATTAATTAGAGATGACTTTATTTTGACCCAACTGTGAAAAACTGGACGACCTCGGTGGGATTCGAACCCACAACAGCAAGGGAGAAAGTCGAGTTTAGCTAACGATCTGATCACCCGAGCTACGAGGATCCACCGGAGGCCGTGAGTTTAACCACATTTGGATCAAGTTACCTGCCCAGCTTACTCCAGCATATGGAATCCACCAAATCTGATGCAGTAAGCTGACTGCCCAAGCTGGATTTCTTAAGCAATCCATCCAGAAGCCGCCAGATGACTACCAAGCTCACGTAATTAATAGGTATTTTGGTAGATTTTGAGTACTTCGTTTTAACCCAACTTTTCAAAACTCGACGACCCCGGTGGGATTTGGATCTGCCAAAACAAATTGATTACGCAAGGCCGGTAGTCTTCTGGTGGCTTCTAGATTGATTGCTTAGGAAGTTCTGCTTGTGCAGTCAGCTTAGTGTATCAGGTTTGGTGAATTCCATACGTTGCAGTAAGCTGGGCGGGTAAATTGACCCAAATGTGGTTAGACTCACGGCCCCGTGGGGCAACCTCCTCGAATCAACGGTTAAACCAAAAACTGTTTCGTGCAAAGAAGGGTGAGGAAACATCCTGTTCTTTTGTCGCCATTGCAGAGGAGCTCTTCGGCATATCCTCTGTTTACACTCTGTGCGATATGCAAGGTACCCGTAGACATGGATAAAACGCCAACTTTTGCCCGAGTAGGTTTACCAATGGCGGCAAACTCGGTAGCTTTTGCTGCCAAAACACCTTGGCTGTCTCGGTGCAGCTAACTAGATGTCCCACCTCGGATTGCGTAGGATGGAGTCGACTTTGACTGTCCGACGTCATCATGTACGCCATAAGTCAAGACTGTTTGTTCTGTCGGTATGTTTCTACGTCGGGGGAGGGGAAGGGGGATTGTTTACTGGTATGCCCTCGAACAGTGAAAACAAGGCGCTGTCGGGACGACAATGTTCTTTTCTTCGCCCAGGTCTGCTCCGCCCGCGTTAGTATAATGGTGGTACGGCACGCGAAAAAGTACCCCCCCCTCCACGTAATACAGGCGGCCTTGTGCTAAATTCCAAGGGGGGGGGGGATTTGGAGCTGGGGTTAGTGTCAGGTCTAAGGTTGGGGGGGTTAGTTTTATGTTTAGGGTTTGGGGTTAAGGAGGGTTAGGGTTAAATTTAGGACAAGAGATTAGTGTTAACTCCTGAAATTTAGCGTAAGGCCAACTTGTATTATGTGGGGGTGATGTGCTTATTCTCGTGTTCAACCAAGATGACCACCTTTTGCATGTTTTGTTTTCTCTCTCTCTCCCTGGCCTTTCAAAACTGATTTCTCCACAGTTTGCTGCCGACTCTAACCTTATTATCCTTTAAGACTACGTTTCTGGTTCCTGAGAATCAAGAGTTTGTTTCGTTTGCAACAGCATAAGTTTCAGGGTTGCTTATGCGTTATCAGAGAGCCCTCGTCTCCTTCTCAAGGCACAGCTGCGTCTGTCCACATTGCAGGCAATATGCCTTCCCCATTACAATTGACTCCTGCTCCAACCCAAGAGCCCAAGTCCCAGGACGTGAAAATGGGGCCTAATGCATTCCCCGTGAGGACATTAACTTTTTTGTTCGCTTGGAGTTGCGTCCTTTTGCTAGGCAGGTGTTTTTTTTAATTAAGACCATTTTTATCTGCTGCTGGGGTATGTCTGGTTAACGAACGCAACTAGGCCTGAAGCAGCCGCTCCAGCCTCCCCCTTTCCACTCAAAACTTCCTTAATGACACTTCACTTTCCAAAAAGTCTGCAATCTCAAACTCACTCCTACTCCACCACTAAGATGTGCATTGTGAAGTGCCTGGCGTTAAGCAAATCAATGATGCCTTCAAAAGGGAATTTTTGAGAAAGAAGGATCCGCTTATTTGACAGCTTGGTGAGACACTTAGCTTACAGCTTCAGTTAGTCCATTTCCTTCGGCCAGAAAATTAGCAAGCAGTTAAAATGTGCTCGCTGTAGTTCACTGGGATATCATGAGCCCAAACTGCAGTTTCTCACTGGGCTTGAACTGCTCAGGAACATTCTTCCTTAGGAGACTGATCACTGCTAGATAGCGCTCACAAGATGTCTTCGGAAGCCCATGACTGTCGAAGCATGTGCTTGGCGGGTAAAATGCACACACGACTCTCCCTCTATGTGCTTATACTTGTAGTAATCTCCGAAGCTCATAAGATCCATCTCCCCTTAGTCGTCGCTCAACTCTAAAAATGAGCAAATAACTAGCCCCCTTCAAAGGAGAAATGCTAAGATTAACTGAGGACAAGATTTTAAAGGAAAGCGGATAAGCGACACGTTGCAAGTAAATCTCGATTGCGACAAAACAGGATGCCTTTGCGCGCGCACAAGTTGTTGTATATTCTAGCCAATAAATGGCGTTAGTGGTTGGAAGTGTGTCTGCCGGCCTGACTATTACTGTAAGATAGACAATTAGACTGTAACTTGTGGACTGCCGGGTGCATAATTCACTTGCTTTATCACTGCGGGCTTTTGCATTGGGCCAAATTCAGGCATCCTGAAGGAAAATACTTTTGGTTGGATTACCGTCTAAGGGGTTCTCTTGGTTTGGATTCCGAATACGAAACCGGTCTGGCAAGCCGATAACAACTGATAAGCCAGAAATAAACATTCCGATCGCCACCATCCTTTTTGGTATTCCTTTCGCAGTAAAACTATTTACATGGTCCCATGTAGAGACACGGGCTACTGTACAAGAATGGGACCCGTGTGATAAACGTCACCAGAAGCCATAATTCTGTCAGTATAAAAACAGGACAACTATCCTGTCTAGTGACGGAGTCTTTCTTGAGCCGGTGGAGAGCGTTGGATCTGAAAGCGTTCTTCACCGTACTCATGACCACCTTGATGTTGAGGCGACCCTTTACAGGTTGACACGTAAGTGAAGAAGAAAGTGTGGGGGGGTCGAGCACCAGAACACCTCGTTCATTGTCCCGAGCTTTCAGACTCGTGCAGGAGTCCATCGTCAGATGTAGTAGCAACAACAGACTAAGCGACAGTTATAGGGCATGTAAACCAATCATCGACGACGGCGCAAGACTGGAGGTGACTACGCAGGACTCCGTACGCCGACGCCAGATCGATAAATCGATTGACTGAGTTCTCATCCGAGGCCCAGTCTTCAATAAATTCTCGGCCTGTTTTGTTTCCGGCGTGGGCGTCGCCTAGTCGCACAGCCGGCTTATGTTCGTGTATGCGCGATCCGAGCATGCGTCCAGTCTGCCCTGTGTAATTAAAAGGACAATTTTGACACGGAATGCAATACACTACTCCTGATTGCTCTTCAGGCTTCAACCGGTCTTTAATTTCCATGAGCCTATTGCGCATAATGACTATGGGGCGGTGTGCAATTCCAACACTTAGCTCCGCAGCAATGCGCTCGTGACGCGTGACGTACTCCCTGTATAACGGCCGACCACACCATCTTTCATAAATTTTACCTAAAGACACAACTTCATCGTCGAGTTAATTCTAATTCCAAAATTGGTGCTTAAGCACAGTATTTCCTTCTGAAAAAAGCATTTTGCAGAAAAAAATATTTTTTTAAAAATGGGCGGACTGAAATAGCCACCAGAGAGTTGAATCTTGGTCCTATTGGTCATCGAACATTCAATGGAAATGCTCTACTGCTCGGACTACGACCTCATACCTTGTTGGCTGGGGTCGAAAAGTTATACAGGGATGGCGCTTTGCCCACTATGACGACGTTAGACTGAATTTATAAGGCAAAACGAATTGAATATGTTCTTTTCTGCGATTCCATCGACGAAATGGTCCTTCTAGTGACTCAAAAATAGTTTTGTCGTAACTAATTTGCCCAAGCTGATCTTGCACTGACATGGGGGTACACAGACCAACTGAATGTGTTTTGCAGAACCAATCAAAAACTGTGAAGGGAAAAAAGTACCATGCTGCCCGCTGATGAGGAAAAATCAACGGGCGTTAGGGGCCAAGGAAATTAAAATGAAAAAGTTCAGGCTCTACTTGATGACAGAAAATTCGACAGACCAGTACAGAACTCACAAGCCCAAACAGTTGCAGTTCGGTTGGACAAATTACTTGGCGAACTCAAGCGTAATAATTAGATCCCGATAAATGTTTGACACCAGATAAAACCGAAAAACGCTGATTTAGTCGATCCAATGGGCGCCAAAGATCCACAAAGCAAATGTTCGCCGGCACTAATCGTTACATTAACAGGCAACGCCGCCTATAATTTGGCCGAACGAGCATGTTCCGTAACCTGATCAGCGAGCGCCCACTGTCATAATAGTAGATGTACTAACTCATGAAATGTTAGCGGAAATTTTGAGATGCGTTTTCGACTCGGAAAGATTACTTAAGTAGGGTTGTGATATTAATTCCCGTGCAGCATAATCCCATAAAAATTCAGTTATTTTAAGATGCCGACTTTTCGGCAGCATGCAAAAACTAACTCTGTAAAAATGGCTGCTTAAGTAGCATGAATTTTTCTCATTGATTTTCTATGCCCATATAGATTCAAATATATTTCACAGAAAACATGCATAAAAATTCATCCTCTTGCTCTTGTTTTAGAAAATTACGTCCTTCAAATTTAATATTTGAAGGAAGGGTATAATTCGGTTTTAAAAAAGTTTCTAATTATGAGATTTTCAGGACAGTAAAATGCCCATTCATAAAACATCGCGTCTCTGAATTTACTAATATAACATGTAAAGTACGCAATACGGCCCAAACCATTGCCAAATTTCATGAACCCCATATAGTCTCCCCTTAATACCGTATAGAAATGCATACTTTTCCGTACGCGGAAAATATACAGCTTGTAGTTTTGAAACCCTGAATGTATTTGTAACGGCAGGTCGGGTTCAAAATTATTCGGGGATTGGAAAATTTTTTAAAACCGAATTATACCCTTCCTCCAAGTATGAAATTTAAAGAAGACGCAATTTTCTACCAAATGAGCAAGAGAATGAATATTCTTATAAATTTTTTTGTGAAATATATTTGAATTTTTAAGGGCATCGAAAATCAGTAAGAAGAGCCCTTATTGCTTAAGTGCCCATTTTACAGAGTTGGTTTTTGCAGGCACCCAGAAGAAAGTTCATTCAAAAACTGGCATTCTGAAGTAACTGAATTATCCTGGGATATGTTGCACGGCGATTAATATTACAACCCTACCTGTGTAATCTTTTCAAGTTGAAAGCACATTTCACAGTTTCGGTTAACATTTCATGAGTCGGTACATCTACCGTATGCACTCTAAACTGAAGTCCCTCCAAGGCAATTCCACTACTTCACTCCGATCAGCGTCCCAATTCTTTGGAGACCTCCAAGGTCGGAAGATTCAGTAGGACGAAGTCGTGGTTTTTTTCGATCTGACATCTTCTATCACATCCCTGCCACCAACTTGACGTACGAAGTCTTGCGCAAGAAACTTGAGAAAGCATGCGTCTAAACCCAGAGTCCTTTCAAAATTGAACACCTTGAGAGGCTGTTCGAGCTCTGTCAAAAAGCGTCTCCAGGGGAAAAGCCCATGAACAGGTCAAGGGAACTCCACTGGGCTACCCAATCTCTGTTTTGATGGCGGGACTGGTCATTCAAGAGCTGCATAAGTCCGCCCTCATCCAACAAGAGCCGATATTTTAGCGACGATATGTTGGCAGCACGTTTATTATCGTCAGAGAGAACAAGCTGTAAAATTTTTAATCATCTGCTCAACTCAACCCTTCTAAATTCATAATTGACGAGGGAAGAAAGAAAAGGAACAGCAGTCGCCCCCCCTTGATGTGCTCGTCAGGCGAAGTCCCAACGGAGATATAGGGACAGCGGTTTGAAGGAAGGCAATGAACAGCATGCAGTTTTTCAGTTTTCGCTACAATAATCTGGTAGCTCGCAAGTGAAGCTGTATGAGGACACTTTCCATGCGGATCGGATTCACTGAAGCAACCTGGAGGGAGAGAGCACGTAAGGCCAGATACCTCTGCGACCAATTGGTGTGTAATTGCTATCCGAAGGCGTTCATAAGCCGATGCCTGTGTTTTCACTCTCGGAGGACTTCACCGGAAATACCACCAATGATGTGAGATGCTCCTCAATACATAAAGGACGTTTCAGAGTCGACCGAACGCATTGCTGCGGAGCTAGATATCGAAATTGCACACCTTACAGCTACCATGCATAAGAGAATCGTCAAAATCAAAAACGTTTTGGACTCCAGTGAGCAGTAGGGTGCAGAGTATCGTATACCATGCCTAAATAGGTCACAGGGAACGCATCCTTGGATCACGCATACACGAAAATATGCTGGCTGTGCGGCGGAGTGATGAATTGTCACAAATGGTTGCTCACACCTTCGAAACGCGCCACAAATTTACCTTTGCAGCCGCCAAGATAATCACCCACACTGGAAACAAGGCAAGTCAAGAATCCATTGAAGCCTGGTCCTCGGGTGAGAAATCAGTCGTTTGACGTATCGATCTGGCGCCGAAATAGAGAACCCTGCGCAGTCATCTTCACCCCAACGTTTCTGATCGCTGATTGGCAAATTTCCGTTAAAACTGTCACTTGTTCTGTTGTTGCTTTCATCTTTGATGATGTCCTCCTAAACGAGCTGCTTTTATCATTGACGATGAACTCCCAAACGGTGCCCGACCAATCTTCTTCTTCATCCTTACGCATGACGACACGTATGTGATCCGGAATCTGGGATGCCCTTGAAAATCCTTCCTGTGCTCGTGTTTGCTATGCTATGCTTGAGGACACTTTTATACATCCGACGAAAAAGACGTCTTTTGGTTTATGAGTCGTTTTCACCCTTACTGATTTTAGACCGCGCTTTGCTATTCAGATTCTACCGCGAAATGACCTTATAGTAAAGACATGCGTTAATGGCGCACGCGACAGCACTTTCGCGTCTAAAATACGTATGCATTCAGCATTTGCCACAGCTATAAATCCCTCGACAACTTTACCAAACAGTGTAAAGCAGATGTGCCATTTCGTGAAATGCTAAAAGGAATTTTGAAATATGTCTTCGATTCGAGAAGCTTACTTAAGTAGGGTTGTAAATTTAATTATCGCGCAGCACAATCTCGAAATATTTCAGTCACGCTAGGATACCGGCTTCGCAATGAGCTTTTTTGGTCGTCTTCAAAAGGTACACTATGTAAAGTGATTTCTTATGTAGTGCGAATTTTTCCCCCCTTGGTTCTCGATGCCCTTTTAAATCCAAATATATTAATTAGAAAGTGTGCACAAAAATACTTTTTCTCGCACTCGTTTGGGGGAAAATTACATCTCCAAATTTCGTGCCCAAAGAAAGGGTATCTTATGGTTTAAAAATGCTTGCAATCATTGAATTTCTAAGAGCGAAAAATGTCCTTCCATACGGCATTGCATCATCACGTTGATCAAGGCTACTTATAAAGTATAAGACTTGGTTCACATCCATTGCACAATTTCATGAGTCCTTTATGACTTCTTTCCGAAGGCGTATGTGGATATTCCTTTGCCGGAATGCATATAGCTTGTAGTTTGAAAACTCTGAATGCAAGTGTAACAGCAGGCGGGATAATACATAACTGAAGAAGTTTTTAAAGACGGGAAGGCACTCTTTTGTCAAGTATGCAATTTGAGCAAGACGTAAGTTGCCACCTACAAAAGAGAATATTTTTGCGCACGTTGAACATAAAATATAACTGAATTTACAGGGGCATTAAAACTCAGTGGAAAAAGTTCGTAGGCGGTCGAAAGGGACCTCATTCAAAAGCCGATGTCCTTACGCTACTAAAGTATCCTAGGATTATCCTGCATGCGAATTAATATTACAATGCTACTTAAGTACTTTTTTCAAATCGAAAGCATACTTCAGAATTTCAACTAACACTTCATGGGATAGCACATCTACAGTAGCTCCGACAGATTATTATTTAAAATTATTTTTCCATTCTCGAAATGTAATAGTGTGGATTAACTGTCTATTTTGAATTTGTTTTATTGCTGCATTTCACGGCAAATCAATTGTTACTATGCGGTTCAGAACTATTTATGGCCACATCATGCTGGATTTCTTGTAAATGACGTCAGCATGCCCACTTCCACCCACCTAACTTGCATGGACTGCAAAATCGGTGTTCGAGTGCGTTGACGTATTGCGCGCCCACCTGCTCCACCAAGGCCAATATCCATTTAATCAAAAGCCTCTCCTACTAGGCTTGCTAACTTTATCAGCTGGTCAGGTGCACTTTTTTCGATGTACGCATACAGTCTTCCTTTGAAAAAAAGTAGTCGGAACGGCCCTCTACGCAAATAATACGTTGCATGTACTCTTGTTAGTTACCCCTATTACAATTAGCCAGTCTATCACCAGCTCCATCTCAGACCCTGTTCGTTTGCTAATCTCCCCCCAGAACCCACCGTATACTTCCCCTAATTAATTGCCTCTGTTCGGGTTTTTTGGCTGCTTTTTAATCCCACGGAAGTTAGCAGTGAAAACTACTGAAAATTCGGGAAAAAAGCATTTAGGTGTGTCAAGATGGGTAGAGATGATGTTGGAAGACAAAGCGGCAAATTTGTACCTACTTTAAACGTATTGCAGATGGAGCCAGATAAAACACTGTGTTAACAGTAGACGTACATAGCGACGTGCCGCTGGGTTTTATTCACTCAGTTGATAAATGACTGTTTTTGGTTCACAAGTATTCTCGCTTGTGAATGAGACCGAAGTGAAATTATCCGTTTTCGTATCCGGCGGGTAGTGATCAATCCCATGAAATATTAACCGCAAATATGAAATGCGTTTTCGATTAGGAAGGATTACTTAAGGGGGGTGGTAATGTTAATTGCCATGCAACATGATCCCACGATATTTCAGTCACGCCAAGAAGCCGCCCTTTGAACGAGTTTTTTCATAGGCGCCAACAAAAACCGCATTCGGTAATAATGTCTGCTTAAGTAGTAGGCATTTAATCCATTGATTTACAGTGTCCTTTTAAATTCAGATATAACTTATAGGAAACGGGAGTAAAATTATCCATTCTAGTACTCGCATAGTAACAAATCTCGTCTTTCTCAGATTTAATACTCAAGTAAACAATATGCTTGGGTTTTAAAAAACGTCTTTCAATTCCAGAATAATTCTGAGCCCGATCGGCAGTTGCATTTGCGTCTAGGGTTTGCGGCCTACAAGTTGTGTATTTTCAATGTGAAGAAATTCATACATTCCTGTATGCTACTAGGAGAATACCATATAGGACTCATTACAATTCTGCAATAAATTTGAACCATGGTATATACTTCATAAGAAGTATTAACAAACAGATAGACATGATTTAACTTGAGTGGACATCTCACGGCCCTAAAAATCCTCATAATTGCAACTTTTAAAGCTGCAGTCTATGATTTCTCCGAAGGTAAATTTAGGATACGTGATTTGTTTACGAATTTGTGCAGGGAAGGATGTTTTGGAGCATGTTTTCTACGGTATATGTTTTACAGAGATATCGGAAATCGATGGAAAGAATTCGTTCTACTTGAGTAGTCTTCTGGTGAGTTTGGTTTCTGCGGGCAGCCGAAAAGAAGTGCATTCGAAAGTCGGTGTCCTGACGTGACTGACATATCTTGGGATCACGCTGAGTGATGATCAGTATTACAAGCACACTTAAGTAAACCTTCCTACTCAGTTAGAATTTCATGCGATTGGTTACTGACTGTAGATCATAGAAATGGGTCATCCGAAGAGATAACTATTTATTGCCCTGACCTTTCCAAGGCATATGGGCCTTCATCTACGAATGTACTAACACCTGGCCTCGCAGCAATTGTGGGTGTTGTTGGGTCTGACGCTCCATCTTTGCCATCACAGTTCTCGGTTCAGGCACGGCTTCAGTTGTCATGGCGACGACAACTTCCCCGCCTGGTTTCTGCTGCCATGTTCTAACTGACCAGCCCCTGGTGGGTGGAGCGAAGAGTCCGGGGGTGGGGGAATTCTGGCAGTTGTCGCTCATCGCAGCACAATTATCACCCACAGTGGCAGGGCCGTTAATTGCCGTCCTTGTACCTGCGCTGGCACATGCGTCCAATCCTCCGAGGCTCAATCCATGGAACTTTGCAGCTGTCATGATAATGACGTCGAGTCGAAATCGCTACACCTCGTGACATCCCCCTCCCCGAAGGATTAACTCCAAGTTCGCGCATTAATCTCCACATAAAGTCAACAAGACCACATGAAAGCAGGAATTTATGTAGTTGAAAGCGCACGGAGAACTGATTAGCCGAACCCCAGCAGCGCAAGATAGGTAAAACACGCATGCTCTCAGGCCGCACACGAGGAGGCCCCAAACGACGGGTTTTTTTGTTTCTTGATGCAGAAATATGGACGCCTCAAAACGAATGTCTACGCGAAATGCCTCACTGCTGGAATTATCCTCGACCACAGAAGCGGCCTCCCTCTGATATTTACGTGCCTTTCACGAGCCCTCAATTAGAAGTCTTGAAAACCAACATCGCGGACTACTTCCAGCTGCCGGGTGATGAAGCCTCCGATTGGGTCAACTACGTCCTTCGCGCTTCATAATCTGAACTGTCTATTGCCTAGACGTCGGATTCTACAAAAAGGACTTGTCTCCTCGAAACTTGGATAAGAGGTCGACAAGATCAGGGCTGAGTTTAAGAATGAAGAAAGAGAGTCGAGCACCAGGAAAAGGGACTACTTTTCTGATTTTCCGGACTCTGCTCAGAGACAAAACGCACTCTAACCGTCTGTAGACGGTAGCCGTAGACCAATTCCCCCTATAGTTAGGTAGATCAAACGCCAGGAAGACTGGAGAATAACCTGGACAATCATTAAATGGTTGTTCGGTGAGAAAATCTGCTACATTTTATTGGCTTAATCTTAAATTAAATCCTTTCTCGGACGAGTCTGGGGTGAACTAACAATGGTGGTGATCGAGGCTTGAGATTCGGTTTTTCAATCGATGAATAGATGTGTCGAACTCCCAACCTACGCGTCTTGGATAAATGAATCAGACCAGACCCATGATTATTAGCCACTACCAATGAATCAATTTCGAAAGTAAACTGTTTGTCCTTCTGCCCCTCTGTCATGTCTCCGAAGCTCTGAACCCATACAGAAAAAGAAGTCCGAAGACTCAGAGCTGTTAACCCCTCCTGCTGTCAGAATCTCTTTCACCATCGAAAGCTTTCCTTGTGTGCGTGTTCTCGCCGATTTCAGTGTTTATCTGCTGTCTGCCCGCGAACTATCCTTAGTTCTTTCATCTCCTCCGGCATTACGCACCAGAACGCGATTTCCTCATAAATCCTGCATCCTATCGCAGTAGTTTAATTCTTTTTTTTGGGGTTTACGATCGTCATTGGTTAATTTTTAATTGGCATGCATTCGCCGGTTAGTACCATGATTCCTACTACGGCCGCTGCTGCTGCTGCTGCGACCACTACATTTCGCCGTTTTTGTGCCCTTGCGCTCGATGTAAGCCTAATCCTATTTCATTCGATGCGCGCGTGCGTGCCGTGTTCGTATGTCGGCGCGTTCGCGCGTGTCTGGTTTTGTCAACTGTTTGCGCATGCAGAAGATACTTTTTACCTCGACACATCGCTATCGTCGGAGTCCCCACCTTTTCGTTCTCGCTACCGTGACGATGACGATGTCCGAGCACGAATTGCGCACATTCGCAGCCCTCGTACATCTATATATGTTTATGGAGGAAGGGCCCTTTCGTCGTCCTCCTCCACAGGCCTTAGTTACGCTATCGATCTCCCGTTGTCGATGTCGCGGTGGGACATCGAAGTGGTACGGGAGAGCTGCGAAATGCCCACACTGAACTGGTCCTCACACCGAATGATGATCTTATAAGTTGGAAAAACTAGGGGGATTAGGGCAGAAACACGTGTTTGTAAGGCTTCTTGAAAGGAAAATAAACAGTAGGTAACTTGAATACCTGAAGCGCAAATGGGGTGGTAAGGATACCGTCAAGGTCTCGTCTATAATTTCCGGACTTACCAATGACAATAATGGAATAGTTAGGACAGCCCACTGCTGTCATCAGTGGGTAAGGAAAACTGATCGAGCCCTGGAACCATTGGTTTATTTGTCTGAGCTTTCGAACTCATACAGGAGTCCATCATCGGCGATAAAAGCAGCAACTTGACAAGCGACAGCTATAAGTGATATTTGCCAATCGCTGATACAGGTCTGGAGGAGACTGCGCGGGGCTCTGTATATCGGCAGCTGGACATCGGATGAAAACTCAGTCAATCGATACGTCGATCTGATGACATACGGAGCCCCACGCATCCCCTTCTTCCTTCTCCTTCTACATCCTCTTCTGTTTCTTCATCTCCCTTCCTCCTTCGCCTGGAATTCAAAATTTCGCCCCCCAGTCATTGCAATCAGCATTCAGACGTCGAGAGGATTGGCTGTTTTTTGCAGGTGTATATCAGCGAAATTCTAAATATAACAGCAAAGCACGCCAATGGTCGTTTCGATTCTAAAGTTGGCTACTAAGAACGTAGATGTCCTGCTGCTCCTGGCGAATAGGATTCGGATAAACCCTACCTCTCCTCTCCCCTGAAATCCAACACAAAGCCGTCTGTAGTACGTGTCCTGCCAAGACCTATTTTGAACGGTGGGAAGACTTTGTATTGGCTGAAAAATTAGCCACACGATAAGTGCGCCAATAAACACGCCTTCAATGTCAGTGGTCGGAGGCAGGATCGCCTAGTCAGCATCAAGCCAGTCACCAAAACCTTGGCTGAAATGGAGGCAATTAAAGGCTGAGGTGCAGGCAACCAGGCCACTATGCGTCTGCGATGAGTGCAGGGGCTGCTAATTTGAACAGGTGCTGTGCTTACGCAACGGCCGCATTCCCTCTACATCGGTCACCTTCGGGTGATAAATTCGAGAGTGTATCCGAAACATCAGCCTTATAGGCTTGTTAGTTCGGCGCTCATGTCTCCTTCTCTGTTCGCCCAACGATCCTTTTCGGACTTGATTTCTCATCATCCATTGGGAGACAATTAAGGCCATAGTATGATTATGAGAATGCCGAAAGCAGAAAACGTTCAAGATCACCTCATGAGGCATATCAATCGTGTACTGTAGGTCCCCTGTGAATATATGCAATAATTGTTAACCATGGTAATGCTTAGTTTGTATCTGCAAGAATTTTGCCGAGCTCTACTTTGCCTTAGATTGAAAAAGGCCGGCTAGGACTTGTGAGAATGGACCATATGCCACATCACCTGTTTCGACATTGAAAACTTCCCCGTAGTTGGGCAGTCTTGATTTTTAACTTTGCATGAGGTTGGCAGACGAAACCTGCTCGAGCAGAAGCAGAGGATTCTCCGAAGTCGAATTCACACTGGTGTGGCATCGTTTGTTTGCCGTATCATTTGTCTTCAGGGAAAAAATGTTTCACGCCATCCGCTCATTCTTTCCATGTGTGATGAAAATTAGCTGTGTCAATAAGGTGGGATAAAAGCAACGTCTTATCTCGATAGCGACTCCTGTTTACCCACCTGGCGTGCTCTCATGAGGACCGAGCATACGCAACTGTTGACTTGACCGCAACCGCTTACCAAACATATTGCTTAAACAGATTAGATCTCCTGGAATGGTTACCCGCAAGCGTTCATTGAGTACTAGAGACCCCTGCAATCTGTTGGTTCAACAGTTGGAAACTCGGTTTGTCTGTGGCGACTCTGTTATTCCGGCCGTTTTGGTGAGAGGTTGTGCCTTCTGGGGGGGAGACCGTTCCATCAAAATTCTTACTTTAGCCGCAGGTTGCGAAAATGACCTAACATTTGTCAACGTCTCACAGCAGTTTAAAGAGGCTTAGCGTTGCAAGTTGTGCGGAATCATTATTCTGGCAGGAAAATGATTGGTCTGGTTAGCCAGGTTAATCTTTTAATGTAACCAAACATAGTAACGTGATAGCAGGTAATTCAGAACACAAAAAACGATACCTGTTCCATCGTCTTCCGCTAATGTCGATACCAGAGAGCTCTCTGTTTGGGCTACCTTCTGCTATTTTCTGGCCTGGCCCTAGCTTGCTTCATCAGACAGCACTCAGGCTTGGATTGGCAAAGTTGAGAGATCGGGGCTGATGATTAGAAGAAAAAGATGAAATCACCTGAACGGATTTATTTAGGTGCTGACCTTTAGAAGAGCCAGGTCGGCTCCCCGTTGTCAAAGTGTAAAGTGCACTTAATCAACCAGAAATTTCAAGTGTCATGCCGCGTCGGCCGGCCGCATGCTGATAGATTTTTCTCTCCTCTCGCTGCCTCGGCCTTTGGGGGGATGGTTGGCGGGCGTTTTATCTGTGTGCTTTGCGAGTCACCGCTTCGTCGGGGGAAGGTGATTGAACCTTCGTCAGGTTGTCAGTCCGTTGGTTCTTCCTCGCCGAGTAGATTCGCCGTCGGCCTTTGTATGGCCTTCTTAAGTCCAGTGCGGTTACTTGGTCCTGAGCTCTACGGACATGATGACGTAGGACTTTGTAGGCTGCAGAAAGGTCCAGGTGCCTGTTGACGGAGTGGGCATCAGAGTACCACTCCTCGATAGCCGTTCTGCTTTTGTGTCGCCCGGCCAAAGATAGCAGCTCTTCGGAGATCGGAAGTATGCCCAGTTTCTTTACCATGCGTTGCTGGGTGAGAGTTTGGATCTTGTGCTTTTGCAGGCGGGTCTGCAATTTCCGCCCGGTTTCCCCAACATAGTTGCAGTCACTCTCATTACAATTCATTTTGTAGACAACTCCTGAGAATTCAGCGGTCGGTAGTGTGTCCTTAGTTTGCATCAGACGGCTCCGTAGTGTTGCCTAGGGCCCATGGGCTATGCCTACTCTGGTGGGTTGTAACAGTCGCGAGACCGCTTCAGAGACCCCTTTAACGTAAGGAACGGCCCTCCAGACCTCGGGTCGCTGCTGGTTTGGCCGTCGTCTGTGCTGTCGGCGACTGCTTCTCTCTCGAGAGAGAAGAGAAAAATCGACCAACATGAGGCCGACCGACGCGACCTGCCGCTTGAATATTCTGGTCGATTAAGTGCACTTTACACTTTGACAATGGGGAGTCGACCAAGCTCTTCGAAACGTCAGCACCCAAATAAACCCGTTTCGGTGAGCTCATCTTTTCCTTCAAAGCACTCAGGCTTGTCTGAGTGTTTTCCGTAAAGATCATTTTCTTTTAAGTGTTAGAAGATAACATTACTAGTAGCACATTTATTGAATATTACACGGTTATCCGGCTGTGGCTGATGGACTTCGGCCCAAATATTCATACATAAAATTCTCGGTCTGAGCCTATAGACTTCGAATAAACTGATCTACTCCAAGTTCGTGGATAATTTCTGAGGAAATCAAAAAGCAACAATCATTTTCTTTCCTCATCCTATCGTCTTAACCTTGGATAGTGTCCATGATTGTAAGAAGAAATAAGGAATTAGTAATTTTTTTCTGGCATCATAATGAGAAACGTTGGGCGCTAAAGCAGTCGTCAAGCTTGTATGAAGAGTAGAAGTAACTGTTGAGGGTGACTTTGATTTGTTTGCGTGAGAAGTGTTCAAAGCGCGCAGAAGAAGAGTTCAGTTTAGCAGTAATAGCAGAATATAACTTCTGAGCAGGAGACGTTAGGCGTTAGAAACACGCGGAAGCCGCGACAAACCGGCAGACGAGTTTCAGACCTATGCAAATTTTTTCACTTCACTTATTCTAAAAGAGCTTCTTCTCAAGCAGTTCTTACTCACACGTGAACTGCTGTCGTTTAGCGAGAAACCCATTTTGCGTATGTTGGTAGTTCGGGTGGACGTTGCTGCTGTTGTTAGAACGAAAATTCTTCCCCCCACTCCCTGCCCCCCCCCTTTTGATTATGTCGCCCTAGTTGTCGATAGAGCCCTTTAAGCTGTAGTCCCCTGGACAGTAATTATATGAGCCAACTTGAGGGGAAAATCGTTTGCAATACTGCCAGCATTGGGAGGTGAGCGTCGCCGTCAACATATTTGGCACACCACTTCAGAGTTCAAGGATAAAGTTATCTTACAGATGAACCCTTTCTTGACGGAGGGTGATGCTCACCCTATCACAGTATTTTTTTACAGGTAACGTACCAGCCAGATGAGTTCTCGAGCACGACTTGGGGTATTGCTGCTGTATTTTAAGGCCCGAGAGCTCGCTTTTCTCTCAATTAGCCTTCACTGAGGACTGTTCCCTCGTATGCCACCCATGGATGGGCTGGGCAGCCCGCGACGGCGTTAACAAGTACTAGCCCCCCCCCCTTCCCTGTAACCTCTGCTCCCCTTGGTCCAGCCTTTTTTCTCTTATTATCGTATTCCTTCCTTTCAGATTTTTGGTCTCTTCACTTCCATCATAATGTGCTGCTCGGTTCGGAAGTACAACACCGACTATTACGAAGTTGACTACGCGGCCAACGCCTAAAGCGAGTATTTGATAAAAACAGCCGGACACACAGAGCCTTTGCCACACAGCGCGGTCGAGCACTGACTCCCTAATCGGCGTTCCGGTTACATCCCCGATCATTTTGCTGCTTCACTGATGCTTTCTTCTGTTCAACATGTATTGCCTCCAAACACACCTCGACTTTTACCGTCTTTTGCTTCCACGATCTGATCCGAGTGGAGGATGCAACCGCCAAGGAGACATCGGTTGCTCGGCCGCCCTATCGTTCACAACTGACCTTTCGTCGTGCTCCCCACCGCATCCTGACCGTACTTTGTACCTAAAACAATTTTCTATATATATACACACACGCATATGCATATTCTAGCTATACATGTATTGCTAATACTACCCAAACACCCTCTGCTTAATCGCACAATGACTGGGATGTGCATTTCTCCGCGCGTGGATACGATCC